TTAAGAGGAAAACTCCATGGCCGGGTGCTGAGGGTCACGCCTGTAATCCCAGCACTTTTGGGAGGCCGAGGCGGGTGGATCACAAGGTCAAGAGATCGAGGCCATCCTGGTCAACATGGTGAAACCCCGTCTCTACTAAAAATACAAAAAAATTAGCTGGGCATGGTGGCGCGTGCCTGTAATCCCGGCTACTCGGGAGGCTGAGGCAGGAGAATTGCCTGAACCCAGGAGGCGGAGGTTGTGGTGAGCCGAGATCATGCCATTGCACTCCAGCCTGAGTAACAAGAGTGAAACTCAGTCTAAAAAAAGGAAAACTCCATAGAGGGCATAGGCCACTTCTAACCATGTAAAATAGGATTACATCACAAATACAGCTTTTTAGTTTACCTGTCAATCTCTTTAGAACACTAAACAATGCTGAAGTTAATAGTTTCTAATTATTACTTTTTTTTAGACAAAGTTTCGTTCTTGTTGCTCAGGCTGGAGTGCAATGGCACAATCTCACTCACCTCAACCTCCACATCCCAGGTTCAAGTGATACCCCTGCCGCAGCCCCCTGAGTTGCTGGGATTACAGGCATACACCACCACGTCCAGCTAATTTTTTTTGAGTAGAGATGGGGTTTCTCCATGTTGGTCAGGCCGGTCTCGAACTTCCAACCTCAGGTGATCTGCTCACCTCGACCTCCCAAAGTGGTGGGATTACAGGCGTGAGCCATCAAGCCTGGCCAGTTTCTAATTTTAAATGTCATTTAAATGTAGATTATGCCATCTAGGAAGGTAAGTAGGAAAGGTAAATTAAATCCATTTTTAAAATTCAAAATTAGAGTATTTTTTCCCTCTGAAGCCTTTTTTGTTGATTTTTCTGTATCTGATATCACTGAGGAATTGGTAAACTGTCAAGATTCCAGTGTAGCTTATCTGAGAAGAAGAGTAGTCATGGGATTTCTTCATGTTGGCCAGACTCGTCTTGAACTCCTGGCTTCAAGTTATCTGCCCTCTATGGCCTCCCAAAGTGCTGGGATTACAGGTGTGAGCCACTACAGGGAATGTGTTTCTTAAACTGAGTTTGTGGGGGGCCGCGGTGGCTCCCGCCCGTTGTCCTGGTGCTTGAGGAGGCGAGGCCATGAGTTCAAGGCCAACCTGAGCAACGTTACATGCTCTCATTGATTGACCAAAAAATTAAAAAAAAAACAAACTGAATTTGCTTTGGGAGTGATGCAACTGTAAAACTTTCTGGTGTGGCTTGCAATATTTCAGATCTAGGAAAACACACTCAACACTCTCACGCTTTGTTAGTTGTTTTGGCCGTCTGTGGTCAGGATATCTGCTGCTAGGAATGCTGTGGAGGTGACGTGCTCACAGTGCCCTGAGGACATACTGGCCCTTTACTAACACACTGAATGCCGCTTGGCAAAGCCATTTGAGATCCTTGAATAACTCAGTACCAGGTCTGCTTACTCTGAGTTACTCAGTCACAAGTAACAAAGTAGTAAGAAAGAGCAGTTTTGGAAGCTCTAATCCCACTTCATTCCTCCCCCTTCCCAGACACCAGCTGATCTCTAGAAAGAGCAACTACCTGCATGTGAGGATTTTTCAACTTTCCGAACTTTTCAAAACCTTAGGCTGTAAGGAAGAGGAAGACATTTTGGCATTTCTATGCCCTAGAGATGGTTTTCTGAGAGTCCCAGGCCCTTCCAGGAAGGCTCACTGGCATCACCAGGCATCTTTTTAGAAAATAAAGCCACTTCCTACAGAAAAACGGTCTTTTCCCACCTTTCCAACATTTCAGAGATCCCGTTCAGTTCTCCGTTCTAGACCCACCCACTACCCTCCAATGCAAACAGTGTTCCAAGGTGAAGGGGGTACAGCTCAGGGGTAGAGCCTTTGACTGCAAAACAGTGTTCCAAACGCCTTGAATTTGGCGTGTGCAGTCCGTTACGTTGACACATGAATTCTGAGCACTTTCCCCAGCTCACTTTCAGTCCAGATTATATTTTTGCCACGTGTGTTTGAAGAAAGACCATATGAGCAAAGAAAGCAGAGTGGGCTCAAACATTTAGTCCAGAGGTGAGATCCAATCTCCTCACACTGGCCTGGGGTTTTCAGCTCTCTGAACAAATAACTCTGAGTTAATCTCCTCCAAAAAAGTGTGAAATATGCAGTTGGTTAGAATCTGAAGTTTATTTCAATCCTAGGGAGTATTCATAAGAGCTATAAAGGTAGGCAAGGGAAAAACTATATGAGAAATATGAAGGAAGAAGACTTAAAGATGATCAAAAAAATGATCTGCAGAAAACAATGACGAGCGTTGAGCATCTTCAGTAAAGACAGAGCAAGAGAAAAAGAGAGGTTTGATGGGTTCCTGTTAGGTAAGGTTACCTGAAGTAAAAAGATAGAACCTGCTCAATGGAAGTCTTTTTTTTTTTTTAATTTTTTATTGCATTTTAGGTTTTGGGGTACATGAGCACAACATGCAAGACAGTTGCATAGGTACACACATGGCAGTGTGTTTTGCTTCCTTTCTCCCCTTCACCCACATTTGGCATTTCTCCCCAGGCTATCCCTCCCCTCCTCCCCCTCCCACTGGCCCTCCCCTTTTCCCCCCAATAGACCCCAGTGTTTAGTACTCCCCTCTCTGTGTCCATGTGTTCTCATTTTTCATCAGCCGCCTATGAGTGAGAATATGCGGTGTTTCATTTTCTGTTCTTGTGTCAGTTTGCTGAGAATGATGTTCTCCAGATTCATCCATGTCCCTACAAACGACACGAACTCATCATTTCTGATTGCTGCATAATATTCCATGGCGTATATGTGCCACATTTTTCCAATCCAGTCTATTATCAATGGGAATTTTGGTTGATTCCAGGTCTTTGCTATTGTAATTGCATAATGAACATTCGTGTACATGTGTCCTTATAGTAGAACGATTTATATTCTTTTGGATATATACCCAGTAATGGGATTGCTGGGTCAAATGGAATTTCTATTTCTAAGGCCTTGAGGAATCACCACACTGTCTTCCACAATGGTTGAACTAATTTACACTCCCACCAACAGTGTAAAAGTGTTCCTTTTTCTCCACATCCTCTCCAGCATCTGTTGTCCCCAGATTTTTTAATGATCGCCATTCTAACTGGCGTGAGATGGTATCTCAATGTGGTTTTGATTTGCATCTCTCTGATGACCAGTGATGATTAGCATTTTTTCATATGATTGTTGGCCTCATATATGTCTTCTTTTGTAAAGGGTCTGTTCATATCCTTTGCCCACTTTTGAATGGGCTTGTTTGTTTTTTTCCTGTAAATCTGTTTTAGTTCTTTGTAAATTCTGGATATCAGCCCTTTGTCAGATGGGTAAACTGCAAAATTTTTTTCCCATTCTTTTGGTTGCCGATTCACTCTAGTGACTGTTTCTTTTGCCGTGCAGAAGCTGTGGAGTTTGATTAGGTCCCATTTGTCTATTTTGGCTTTTGTTGCCAATGCTTTTGGTGTTAATGGAAGTCTTTTTAAAAATATATCTCTCCAGAGTATGTCCAGCCCCATCTAAAACAGTGATCATGTGACCTTGAAAGTTAATAACCCTGGTACTTTATGCTTTTGTTCTCCTTAAACCAAATTGACTACACTCTTCTGGATGTTTTGCATAATATGAAGAACTTCATGAAAACAGGGACCATTTCCCCTCTTAGTTCTTCATTCCTCAAATACGTAGTTCAAAAGTCACAGTCCTTCGCTGAGGGCCTCCATGGAGGCAGGTGCACAGCAGATTGCAACGGGCATTGGTTCTAGTCCAGCTGAGCTGTTCCCTGTTCCCTGTTCCCTCACTCCACTGCCATCCAGTCACTTAACCTCACAAAGCTTCATTTTTCTCATCTTCAATGGAGGTTATATGGCAACAGAGAGCAGGGCTTTGAGGTTCAAGATGAGGTATAACCTTGGCACATAGTAGGTATTCAAATAAAATGTAGTTAGGTTTATTATGCTATGTGCACGACAAGGCAAAACAGTGAAACTTCCTTTGCAAAGATGATGATGGCGAGAGAAGCCTGGCATGGCAGACCCCCTCTTACTCCCAGCCTCACGGGCTGGCTGTCCTCACTCATTCCTGACATATGCCAAGCTAACCATGGAAGGAATTTAATTTATAGTTTAACTTTGAAGCAAGAATGATAATAGTCCCTCCCTAAAATTAACTCCCTTCTTGCTCAGGGACTGAAGCTGCCTTTGTAAAACTGTTGAAAGGCCACTAGATTATGGGAGGGGTCTGAATTCTGCTCAAATGTAAGCAGAGTTTCTATAATCCCTTACTGCTCAGGAGTCATGTGGGCAGAGGTCACGAGACTTGTGACTTCTCCAATTGCTCCTATGATAACATCACTATTGTAGCACCTAAGATTGGTCTTTTGAGATGTTTTTCAGATGGTTGCATTCTGGCAACCAACTAACCCTATCCAGATTTGTGATTCATGACTCAACAGGTCCTGTGGCTGCGATTCAGAGGCAGACTCAGTGCACCAGGACTGTTCCTCACACCCCTATAATTTCATCCTCAACCAATCAGCAGCACACATTCCCTGGCCCCTCCCCCACCAAACTATCCATAAAAACTCCAGCCTCTGAGTTCTCTGAGACTGATTTGAGTAATAACTCCAGTCCTTCTACTTGGCAGGCTTTGTGTTATTAAACTCTATCTCTTCTGCAATACTGTGGTCTCAGGGAATTGGCTTTGTCTGTGCGCTATACAGGAAGAACCTGTCAGGCAATGGCGATAGTAAGTGCTGGAGGTACAGAACTGAACTTGCTCTTGTTCACGTCATGAGCTTTGGGCTGGGGAAAGGAGATAACACAGTTAAACAGTCTTTCCTTGAAAGCTTGTCACAGGCTTCCTCTCAGAACTGGGATGAGGCAGGAGGGGGAAATACGGTTCTTACGCAAGTGTGGTATACCATGCTAGATTTCCTAATGTCAAAAAAACACCCAGGATATCAAAGGATATGTGTCAGTTTGAGCAAATGTTGATTTATTAACTCAGGTTGTAGGCATTTATAAGACAAAATGGAGATATCCAGTGTGATTCCAAGCAGGCTTATGGACTAGCACACACAATAACCCAGGTGCACTGGCGATCTGGGGTAAGGTCTCCTATAGAAGCACTGCATACAGAGAAGGTGCATTTCCCAAGGAGAGGAAAACCACCCTGCCCCACCTCCACCCTGGCTTTCCAGACTTCTAACGTGTTTATTCAGCAGTGACTTTGATTTGATGAGGTGGCTCTCCTCTCTCACGTCGCCCTGTTGGCCACCTTAACCAACAGGTCAAGGAAGACTTCTGCCAGCTCGCCTCTGCTCTGCTGATGGCCTCATCCTGCCACCGTGGCTTTTCAGGCTCTTCCTCCTCTTGCCCTGGGGGCCCTGGGGCCCCACTCTGGCTTTCTTCTTTGTACCCAGACCTCGCAATGTTTCCTTGCCACTTGCCAGAGAAGCCAGCTTCTTGGAGGAGCCTTTCTCAGACAAACCCTGGGATGGGCTGGAAGCTAAGGCTGCGTTGGAAGATTTTCTAGCAGCTTTCTCTGATTGCTCCTTTAGCAAGTCCAAAACTGCCTCTGAGAAATAAGCATTTATTTAGTGAAAAATATAAGAGCCAGAAAGTAGCTATAAGAGAAGCAGCAGTCAGGAAACATATACCTGCAATAGAGTCTTTAATATAAATTCTTTTTATTAATACTTTTTAATTCCCTAACTGCCCTTGATCTAAATATATCACTTTTTTTAAAAGGGTCACTCCAGTGATACATGGTTCTGTAATAGTTTCCTTAAGATAGCATGCTTCCTTGAATAAAAGTGCACAAATTAAAAAGAAAAAAACAATTTTAAAAAAGATAGTATCCTTCCTCTGTAAGTCTTCCCTGACTCCCCACCCTACCCCAAGGAAGCAGTCCTCATTTTAGGTGTCCTCTCAGTTCCCTGGACATCCTTCTATACAAGAACCTTAGGGCCACATTTATTTCTTCATTTGCCTGCGCTTCCCATCCCCACTCCTATTTAACTCCAAATTCCTACACAGCCGAGACTTTCAGTGTTCACTGCTGTATCCCTAGGGATTGGCATAGTTCCTGCCACAAGGTGAGTATGAAAGGAATGATGCCAAATGAATGAATACATGAACGATTAAATGAATGAATCAACAGATGAATGAATGAATGACTAGAGGAAACTGGTCACAGTAGAAACAGGTGCCCTCAACTCATAACTCCTCTGTTATGCAGAAGAGATGTATAGACTGGGCCAAAAGTAACAGTCCTCATTTAAAAGACCACCCCTCAGGGGGAAACTAAGAGTCCACTGTGGGAATTATAGCTTGCTTGCTGAGGGCACTGCCTTGGCCTCTGCCCAAGGCCTGACCCTAAGACTCAAAGATGGACTTACTGGCAAGTGGTCTGAATGGGATCCCCTTACTCTTGGTTCTCACCGGCACTGGCTTGTATTTGCACTTGCCTGGGGGTGCTCGCCTAAAAACACAGAAAGCGTGAGGATACAAGACTCTGCAGATGCAACCAGAAAATCAAGGTCACCAGAAGGTGTATATTTGCAAGAATTGGGGTCAACTTCTACTTATCCATGCGGTTGGGGTAGATGGAATAGGAAATATGCTATGAGTTCAGGAGAGGTAAAAGGGCACAGATGTCACAGGGCACCTCAGGCCTTTGAGAGACAGTGCAGAGAGGGAGTTAGGAGTATGGGCATGGCGGCAGTCAAAACGGGTTCACATCCTGGCAACCAGGGCAAGAAAACCTTGCCAATTCTCAGTCTCCACATCTACAAAATGCAAATACTAACAGTGCCCATCTTGCAGGGAGACGTGAAGACGAAAGGAGAGCTGTGCACCCGACACACTGTGAGTGACTGATCAAGAAGGAGAGTTTGAAAAGAACACTTGGAGCAGGGCCCAGCACAGAAGAGCTCAGCAGATCAGGATGACGACGATGATTCTGCTGCTGCTTCTGACAGTGATGCTGGTGATTTCCTTTAAAGAAAATGTTTGGAAAACTCTGCCCCTACCGCGAAAGCTCTCTCTCTCTCTCTCTTTCCCTCCCCCACAAAGAGGCTCCCTTATCTCTCACTTTACATACCGGCCCTAGCCCTCCCACCGCCCAGCTTCCCGCTGCCCAGCAGTTCAAACTGACCAACAGTTGCCCACCACCTCGGCTTTTGGCTTCCCAACCCCCAGCCCTTCAGCCCCCTATAAAACAACCCTGCCCCTCTGAGCGGCGCGGCCATTCTCCTCTTCCTCCCGGCTGGTCCGCCCAGAGGCTCTTTCCTCTCAATAAAGCCTGAACTCAAGGAATTTCCTCTAGCCTGCGGTCCGGTTTTTTCCGAACGAGCTCAGTCTTCCCGCAGAGGGTAGGTCGGACAAATGGTGCCAGAAACCCGGGAGCTGGGGCCGTTGGCCCGGCCACGGCCCCCGACCCCCTACCCGACCTACCCAACACTGGCCCTGCCACCTCCACGTTCCGATTCAGGTAAGCCAAGTTTTTCTTGCTTTGCCTTCCCCCGCTTCCCGTCTCCTCTTCCTACAGCACGGTGCAGTTGCTCCCTCTCCGGCTTTCCGCATGGACTCCTTGCCTAGTCTCGGCCGAGCCAAGGTAGTCTTCCGTTCCGGCTCCAGGAGCCTTCCGAGGGACAGCCGCCAGACAGGGGACGCCCCTCTGACCACTTCCCTTTCCGTACTTAATTGTACTCCGGGGAATTTGCAGCGAACGGGGACACCTTTTCGTTACATCTGCCCATCTGCGCCGGAGAGTCTGTAGCTGCACCTGCCATGGGAAATTCGGAGTCCAAAATACCTCTGAGCACCCACCTCGGGTGCTTGCTGTGAAATTTTACCAAATTGGGATATTCCCAAATCCTCAGAAAGAAAAAGCTTATTTTCCTGTCCCAGGTGGCTTGGCCCCAATACAAACTCAGTAACCAGTCACATTGGCCCCCGACTGGCACTTTTGATTTCAACACCCTCCGAGATCTCGACGATTTTTGTCGCCGCGTGGGCAAGGACAATGAAATTCCTTACGTCCAGGCTTTTTGGGACCTCCGTACCCACCCCGACCTATGTTCTTCCTGCTCCACCTACCAAATCCTCTTATCTCGAACCCCCCCCGTAAATCTTCCTCCACTACCTCTCCCCCTCCCTACTCCTCACCGGAGGATCTGCCTGAACATCTGTCCTCTCCTGCCAATCTCAGCAACCAGTCGCCATCAACGGCACGCCCTTCCCCCACTCCCTCTGCACCTCCTACCTCAGAGGCCATGCCTCACTCTCCCTCTACTCCCTCCGAGCCCCCTCCCTCAGAGGCTGCACTTCCTCTTGCCTCTCCGGTGGCGGCCCACACCCGCCCCCACCAGCCAGCTATCCTGGCCCCACTCCGAGAAGTAGCAGGCGCAGAAGGTTTAATCAGGGTCCATGTTCCTTTCTCACTCCAAGACCTGTCCCAAATTGAGAAACGTTTAGGATCCTTCTCAGCCGACCCATCCACCTATATTAAAGAATTCCAATACCTCACTCAAACATAAGAAGCCCTAGTCCGGTATACTCGACTAGATCCAGCCTCCCAAAACGGGGCCACTGTATTAGCCTCCCACTTTATCTCCCAATCAGCACCCGACATAAGAAAGAAACTAAAGAAAGCAGAAGAGGGGCCAGAGACTCCCATCCAAGACCTGGTAAAAATGGCCTTTAAAGTATTCAATGCCAGGGAAGATGCGGCTGAGGCTGCCCGCCAAACTCGCATGAAGCAGAAGGCTGCCCTCCAGACCCAAGCCCTAGTGGTGGCTCTAAGGCCGGTAGGGAACCAGAAGCCCAAGGCCGAAACCCATGCCCCTCCAGCGGCATGTTTCAAATGTGGAAAGGAAGGACACTGGTCCCGAGCCTGTCCACAACCACGGCCACCAACTAAGCCTTGCCCTATCTGCCACCTCCGGGGACACTGGAAGTCAGACTGCCCCAGCTTCCCCAGGGTGCAGGTTCCTCAAAACAGACACACTGGCGTTACGCAGCCGGCGGTCACCCTCAGTAGGGAGGAGCCTGCTTGCCAGGAGCCGACCTCCGAGGGAGCTCCGTTCCCCAGTCTACTAGGGCTGCTAGATGACTAGCGGGGCCCTGGCTTTCCGACTCCGGTTACCCTCGCCGAGCCTAGGGTCACAAGACATGGGGGCTACCTACTCAGCACTTCCTTCTTATTCTGGCCATCTCACCCCTTCCCAGGTCTTAGTCATGGGAATTGATGGGACCCCGAGTATCCCCTACCAAACCCCACCACTCATGTGCTCATATAACTCCACTCCCTTCACCCACTCCTTTTTAGTAATCCCCACCTGCCCAGTTCCCCTTCTGGGGTGAGACATCCTTTCAAAGCTGAAGGCCGTCATAACCTTCCCCACTGCCAGCCCACACAGCCTTTTTCTCCTAGCCCTCAATACTCTGCCCTGGAACTCCAGGCCCTCCAGTCTACCCCCGGGGTACGGTTCAAGGATGACTGGGCCTTCAAGCATAACCTCCTCATCCTCCCTGAAAAGCAAAGGTACCAGATAATCCAAGACATCCATAATTCACTCCACATTGGGCCTAAAGCCTTATACCGATTCCTCAACCCACTTTTTCACCCTCACCATCTCCTCAATACCATACAGGAAGTCCAGTCCTCATGTACTGTCTGCGCGAAAACTAATTCCCAGAGTTCCTGTCATCCCCGGCGCCAGCTTCATCAGCTACGCAGGTTCCTACCTGGCCAAGACTGGCAAATTGATTTCACCCATATGCCAAAGCACAAACAGTACCGGTATCTGCTAACCATTGTTGACACTTTTTCAGGCTGGATTGAAGCTTACCCCACAGCCTCTGAGTCTGCCGGGACAGTAGCCACTCACCTCATTCAAGACATCATCCCACGCTTTGGACTCCCAGCCACCATACAGTCAGACAACGGCCCAGCCTTTATCTCCAAAGTCACTAATGCCGTTTCTACCTCTCTAGGAATTCAGTGGAAGCTACACGCCGCCTACCATCCTCAGTCCTCTGGTAAGGTGGAACGGGCCAATGGCCTAATAAAGGAGCATCTGACCAAGCTCATGCTTGAGCTCCGCCAATCCTGGGTAACCTTGCTTCCTATCGCCCTCACTAGGGTAAGAGCAGACCCCCGGGGCCCATCACAGCTTAGCCCATTTGAGCTGCTGTATGGTTGCCCCTTCCTACTTTCAACTCCCCCACCGCCAGAGACTACTCCTCTAGACAGCTACCTCCCCTACTTTACTCTCCTTCGCAGCCTTCTCCGAGAACACGCCAACGCTTCTCTTCCCCAACCCACCCAGCCATCTGAAAATACACAGAAAGTCTCCCCCGGGGACTCAGTTCTTATCAGGTCCCTCTCCCCAAAGCCCCTCGCCCCCAAGTGGGAAGGACCATACACAGTCCTCCTTACCACTCCATCAGCTATAAGAGTTGCTGAAATCCCATCTTGGGTCCACCTGTCTCGGGTAAAAAAGGCCCCTCATGGACCCTCCTTATGCTGGAAGGCTGTTCCTACTGGCCCTTTATCTGTCAAGCTTACCAGGGCCTAGCAGCCACACCCCCTACAGACGGAGATTCTTCCTAACTGAAAACTATACCAAAACCACCTTCATCTGTAATACCCCCCCATACAGCCACAACCACCTTCTTACAACTTACGACTGCCCCGCAGCCGGATGCCAAAGTGCCATATAGCTGAACTTCACCAAATTCCGCAACGTCCATACTACTATACCTCTCATGTGCTTCAACCATGACCAACCATCAGGAGCATGCAATAATACTCCTTGGCGCTCCTGCATGGGATGTACTTGGATGAACTGTCGACTACATATAGCTATCGAGTCCACAGTACCTGCCCGATCTCAGCTCAAAATCATCCCAGATGTAGATGGAGAAGGAAACACCATTATCGGTTCTACACGGTATTCCCTTCTCATACCTGACCCCTGGGACAACCGGTGGAAAAGCCCCCAGAAAGCTGCCGTGTATGACCACATAGATACCAAATATCCCTCTTCCCACCTGTACATCTGGCGGACATACGTACGTACAGTCCACCAAGTCCACTCTGACATTAGCCTACAAGAAAAATCTCTGAATGACCAATTGCAACCACATTCGCCTCCGTTTTCCTGGTTAACCTTTCTCCAAGAAGGAATCAAATTAGCTAACCTCTCAGGATTAACTGACCTAACCTCATGCCTCATGTGTGCCTTCTTAGGACAGACTCCCTTCGTTGCAGTCCCTTACCCCATCCCTCTCAACCTTTCAGCCTCAACTTCTTCCTTCTCCCCCATCAGGGAAGTCGATCTCTACACTCCACCTGATTTTGAACAGCTACCTGTGTGCTATTCCCTAGGCCGAAACTTCCCTAGCTGTAACAGAACTATACTGGTAACCACTAATATAACAGCCCCACGAGGAACGTTTTTCGGGTGTAACAAGACCTTAACAAAAACTCTCTACATTGGCCTTTCCTCATCTCTTTTATGCCTCCCGGTAACCCTAGTCCCTCGACTCACTATATATTCTTCAGCCGAATTCCAGATGCTGCAAGCTCCCCATCACCGCACCCGACGAGCTGCCTTCCTACCCATTGCTGTTGGAGTCTCCCTTGCTGGTTCAGCACTTGCAGCAGGATTGGGAGGAGGGGCACTAGTCCACTCTCACCTGGCCATAGCCCGACTGACCTCACAACTCCAAGCGGCTATTGATGACTCTACTGAGTCTTTAGCATCACTCCAACGACAGATCACCTCAGTTGCCCAAGTTGCCTTGCAGAACCGAAGAGCCCTGGACCTGCTCACTGCTGAACGAGGAGGGACCTGTATCTTCCTACAAGAAGAGTGCTGTTACTACATCAATGAATCCGGCCTAGTAGAAATCCGAATCGAGAGCCTCCAGAAACTCAAAACTAGCCTGCAGAGTCAGAAGTTCTCGGCTGAAGCCACAGCGTGGTGGTCGTCCTCTATGTATACCCTGTTGTCCCCATTGCTTGGGCCCCTAGTAGCCGTTTGCCTAATCTTACTTATTGCTCCTTGCTTTCTACAGTTCCTACAGTGGCGCTTTCAAGAACTGACTCGAGTCACCATCCACCAGATGCTGCTCCAACCCTGCCCTGAACGAGCGCAAGAAACAGACCTCTCCCCGAACATCCAGGCTCCTTAAGAAAAGAGACCTCTTCAGAACCCCCCGTCGACCCTTGTCAGCAGGAAGTAGCCAGAGAGACAACCGACACCCCTGACCCCCTCTTTTTCTTTTCTTTAAGGAGTCGGGAATGTTTGGAAAACTCTGCCCCTACCGCAAAAGCTCTCTCTCTCTCTCTCTCTTTCCCTCCCCCACAAAGAGGCTCCCTTATCTCTCACTTTACATACCGGCCCTAGCCCTCCTGCCACCCAGCTTCCCACCCAGCAGTTCAAACTGACCAACAGTTGCCCACCACCTCGGCTTTTGGCTTCCCCACCCCCCAGCCCTTCAGCCCCCTATAAAACAACCCTGCCCCTCTGAGTGGTGCGGCCATTCTCCTCTTCCTCCCTGCTGGTCCGCCCGGAGGCTCTTTCCTCTCAATAAAGCCTGAACTTAAGGAATTTCCTCTAGCCTGCGGTCCGGTTTTTTCCAAACGAGCTCAGTCTTCCCGCAGAGGGTAGGTCGGACAGAAAACATCTTCAGAAACTCAAGGCACGGTCCTTAGGCAATGCCAGCTGCTCTGCCTAATGACACACGTTCATATACTGCTTGTCCCCTGGATGCATCTTCTGAAATAAAAGGGACTTCGAGGACAGAGAGTACTTCCACTGTAGAGAGCAGAGCTGGAACTTCCCAGCCAGTCCCCACTGCCTTCTCTGCCTTGCTCCAACTCTATCCCTCACCACCATCCTCCCAAGTCCAGGTGGGAAAAAAAGGTAATTGTATTTATTTAACAAACACTTAGGTAGTGCTTAGGCACTGCTCTAAATACTTTGCAAATATTAAGTCACCGAGTCTTCCTAACAACCGGTGAAGTAAGTACTATTATTCTCCTCATTTTACAGAGGGGAGACTGTGAGGCGCACACAGGCTAAGAAACAGCCCCAAGGCCACACAGTCAGTCAGTGACAAAGCCAAGATTCCAAGCCCAGGCTCGGGGCCATGTTCTCAACCATTGTATTTAGTTACCCCTAAAGGAAGGGTAGGAGGAACAGATGGGAGGGGGAAAGGATACAGAATTAATAAGCTGCCCTCAGAATGCTGGGGTTGGTGCATTCAGTGCAAAGACAGACTGAATAAGTAATCAGGCAGAATCTGGTCCACTTACAGAAGCTTTAAAAAGTCTATGTGATTCAATGTAGTTATAACGGAACAGAGGGGATAGTGCTGAAATGAGCAGTCCACAGAGAGAACTGAGCTCCTGTTCCAGGCTCCTCTTACCAGCTGTACCTGGGGCAAGTAATTTAACTTACCTAGCCTTCAGCTTCCTTCTCCATAGAGTGAGGATGTTAACCTGCCTGGTTGGAATTCTGTTGGCATTAATTGAAAGCCCGCATGCATGGCACTTAGCACAGTGCCTGGCACACAGGAAAATCTCCATAAATGTCAACTTAAAAAAAAAAAAAAACGGTGAACAAGTAAGGATGTCTTCAGTGTGAAAATGCTTTATGGGTGCTTTCTGTGTGGATTCTCACAGCTGCTCTTGTGAAAGTGGGGAGTTAAATTATCTCCCAACTAAATCAGAAAACTGCCAAAGGAAAGAAAAGTGGATTCCCACAGGAAGCCTGTTGCCGGAAAGAGAACTCCCCACCAAGGCATCGTCCACATCAGAAGCACTTTAAAGATGCTGAGCCTGCTCTGTCCCCTAAGCCCAGGAGATGTGCACAAAAGCAGACCCAGCAGTGGAAACAGCCCAGTATTAAACTCACCCCTTGACTATCCATGCTCCACCATCCGCAAAGCACCCTGGGCACAACCTCAAGGACTGAGCCTCTTCCAAGAACTTCTGAGAACATACAAACCGAGAGCCCTGTGGCCAAATGGAAGTGTTGCATTGAACTCAGCACGGAAAGTCAGCACCAGAACAAAAGTATCCCAAATTGCAGGGTTTATTGCCGGCGACCACGGAGGACTCACGTCTCTCCAACCCGTGGCAGACAAAGAAGAGTGACAAGACCTTTTTATACCCACAAAACCACTTTGGGAGTGGGGTTGAGGAGCGGAGATGGGAATGAAAGCTGTCAATCACCTCCTAGGCTGAGACGAGGGTGAGGGGGCTCCAGATATTCCAAGGGCCAGGGGACTTTTGTCATTCCAATTGCCACTTAAGTGGTTTACAGAGGTCAAGATAAACATTAGTTTATACATTATTTGGACAGGTGGGGGTCCACATAATTTTAGGTTACTTGGCGCCAGGATGGAATTATCTGGGGGTGCTTACTTTGGTAAACAAAGGCCAGCAATTCTGGCAGTTACAGATAAGAGAAAGTCTGCAGCTTGTCCTCTCTTTGCATTTTGCAAGGTCATCTTAGTAGTTTACAGAAGCCATGGCTAGCAGTCATTGTGAGGAGAATGGAAACAGTTTTCCCATTTTAAAATGGCATTGTACTGGTTCTAATTCTAGGCCAGCTGTATCACAGAAGGTGAGCTAGAGCTGGCCCCTGAGCGTTCACCAGTGGCTGGACCTATAAATGCCCCATGTCTACTGAATGCCAATGCAGATATGGGTAACATAAGCCTCAGAGGGAAGTTTTCCTCTACAGGTCTATCGGTAAGCTAATTCATGGGGAGATTTTCTTGCTTGGGTGAGAATTTTTAGATAAATCTAGAGCTCTGGGGCAGGGCGCACGGTGGCTCACGCCTGTAATCCCAGTGACTTGGGAGGCTGAGGAACAAGAATAGCTTGAACCCAGGAGGCAGAGGATGCAGTGAGCCGAGATCGTGCCACTGCAGTCCAGCCTGGGAGACAGCGAAACTCTGTCTTGAAAAAAAAAAATCTAGTGCGCTGCCAAGACTCCCCAGGATGGATACAATGCAGCACCCTCCCTGGGGCAGATAGCCTGACCCAGATTCAACCCCCTCTCAAATGGGAAGTGATATTGCAGCTTTTGCCCACGATGGTGGAGGTTGGTCAGCCTCTGAGAGAGATGGGCAAGGAAGCAGAAGGAAACCGCACAGAGCCCAGCAAGTGAATAAACACTAAACAGAAAAGATCAGGTGGAGCTACTGAGGAACCTGCCAGTCAAACATATTTGCCAAAGACCTAGAGCTCTGCACCAAGCCCAGGGGCCAGGGGAGCAGTACTTACTCAGGTGGTCGGAGGTATACACCTATTACTGTTAGATGACCTCACTTCCAGAAGCAGATTTAAAAAAAAAGAGCCAGGCACGGTGGCCCGCGCCCATAATCCCAACACTTTGGGAGGCTGAGGCAGGTGGATCACCTGAGTTCAGGAGTTCAGGACCAGCCTGACCAATATGGGGAAACCCTGTCTCTACTAAAAACACAAAATTAGCTGGGCGTGGTGGTACATGCCTTTAATCCCAGCTACTCGGGAGGCTGAGGCAGGAGAATCGCTTGAACCTGTGAGGCGGAGGTTGTGATGAGCCAAAATCATGCCATTACACTCCAACCCAGACAACAAGAGAGAAATTCCATCTCAAAAAAACAAAACAAAAAAAGCCGCAGACCTAAACGAACCCTAGAAAGGCTCAAGGTCTTCATGTCCAACTGCCGAGAGACAATTTCCCAAATATTTCATAATTTCTATAGACGTATTGTCCTACACCATTATCTGTCCAAACTGCTTTTCGTCTAGAATGTGGGTTTGCTTCATTGATAATTTTTGGTAATTTGAGGGACAGTGAGGACTGTTTTTATGTCCTGCCATTGAGTTAAGAAATAAGAAAAAAATGGCCAGACATGGTGGCTCATGCCTGTAATCCCAGCACTTTGGGAGGCTGAGGCAGGTGGATCACAAGGTCAAGAGTTCGAGACCAGTGTGGCCAACATAGCAAAATCCCATCTCTACTAAAAAACAAATACAAAAATTAGCCAGGAGTGGTGGCAGGCACCTGTAGTCCCAGCAACACAGGAGGCTGAGGCAGGGGAATTGCTTGAACTCGGGAGGCGGAGGTTGCAGTGAGCCAAGATCACGCCACTGCACTGCAGCCTGTCCTACAGTGTGAGACTCTGTCTCAAAAAAAAAAAAAAAAGAAAGAAAAAGAAAAAGAAAAAAAATGAGAAAAAATGCATTTGAGAAGAAAATGACATCAAATCTCACCTTGAGGGGTCAACAAATTTGTAAATAGATCCGTGTGGCGCATAGGCACTTGGGTAAGAGGTCGCCAGGAAATACAGCTCCCCTAGGCAACAGAAACAGACAAGCGATAATGGGACATTAGGTAGCGCTGACATACAGATGCACAGAAAACAGTCCAGATGAGTTTATGGCCGTAAAATCCAGCAAGCTCCCAGAACGGAATCCCAGAAACCTACAGGCGTCAGCTTCGCTGGCCTGTGAACTTGAGACGTGCCTCTTTGAAACCCAAAGACTAGCTCAGTGTATGGACGAGCAGAGGTAATTTCTCGTGTATGCTTATTTATCAAACTAAACAGGTTTCTTCTGTTTGCAGGAGACCCCTTTTGCTTGGCTCTCATTTTCTCTCGTCTGTCACCATGTAAGATGTGCCTTTCACTTTCCACCATGCCCAGCCACGTGGAACTATGAGTCTCCCTTTCTTTATAAATTACCCAGTTTCCGGTATGTTTTTATCAGCAGTGTGAAAACAGACTAAGACACTCTTAGACAGTGCCCTGCTCCTTCCCATTTCTCCCAGCTGGAACTCTGGGAAATGTTATTTTCACCTAATAAGTTCCTCACTCCACCTTGCTTTCTAGTTATCTATGAGGGACAGTATGCTATGAAGTCACGAGCGCCACTGGAGAGTCCCAGAAGTCTGGTTTTAATTCTGATAACATCAATTCCTCTCTATGCTATCTTGGGAGACCTCTTCCCCTGCACAGCCCTCAAGATATTTATTCACTTGTAAAACGGAGATCACAATGCTCAAATGACTGTTAGGTATTCCATTAGAAAGTGTTAGATAAGGTCAGGCGCAGTGGCTCACACCTGTAATCCCAGCACTTTGGGAGACCAAGGCAGGTGGATTACCTGAGGTTGGGAGTTCGAGACCAGCCTGATCAACATGGAGAAACGCTGTCTCTACTAAAAACACAAAAAATTAGCTGGGTATGGTGGCGCATGCCTGTAACCCCAGCTACTCGGAAGGCTGAGGTAGGAGAATCCCTTGAACCTGGGAGGTGGAGGTTGCAGTGAGCTGAGATTGTGTCATTGCACTTCAGTCTGGGCAACAAGAGCAAAATTTCATCTCAAAAAAAAAAAAAGAAAAGAAGAAAAAGACAGTGTTAGATAATTGGGATGGGCACAGTGGCTCACGCCTGTAATCCCGGCACTTTGGGAGGCCGAGGCAGGTGGATCACATGAGGTCAGGAGTTCAAGACCAGCCTGGCCAACATGGCAAAACCCCATCTCTACTAAAAATACAAAAATTGCCAGGCATGGTGGCTCATGCCTATAATCCCAGCACTTTGGGAGGCCAAGGCAGACAGATCACAATGTCAGAAGTTCGAGACCAACCTGACCAACATGGTGAAACCCCGTCTCTACTAAAAATATAAAAGAATTATCCAGGTATGGTGGCGCATGCCTGTAATCCCAGCTACTTAGGAGGCTGAGGCAGGAGAATCACTTGAACCTGGGAGGCGGAGGTTACAGTAAGCCAAGATCGCGCCACTGCACTCCAGCCTGGGCAACAGAGCGAAACTCCGTCTGTTTGATGTTTTGATATATGTCTACATTGTGGAATGGCTAAATCATGCAATTTAACATATGCATTACCTCACATACATATATTTTGTGTGAGAACACTTAAAAATCTTGTCTGAGCAATTTTCAAGTATAAAACATATTATCTACAGTCACCATAATATACACTAGCTCTCTTGAATTTATTCCTTCTAATTTTGTGTCCTTTCACCAATATCTCCGCAATCCTCCTTTCTCCCCCAGCCTCTGGTAACTACTATTTTACTGTTTCTATGAGTTTGACTTTTTAAAGATTGCACCTATAAGTGAGATCATAGAGTTGTCTTTCTGTGCTTAGCTTATTGCACTTAACATAATGTCCTGCCAGTGTCATTCACGTCACAAATGAAAGGGTTTTCTTTCTTTGTTAAGGCTGAATGGTATTCCATTATGTACATATGCCACATTTTCTTATCCATTCATCTGTTTATGGACATTTAGGTTGACACCATATCTTGTCTATTGTTAATATGCTGCAGTGAACACGGGAGTGCAGATATCTCTTCAGCTCGCAAATTTCATATCCTTTGGATGGATACCCAGTAGTGGGATTGCTGTAGCATATGGATGTACTATTTTTAATTTTTTGAGGAACTTCCATACTGTTTTTCATAATGGCTGTACTAATTTACATTCCCACCAACAGTGTACGAAAGTTCCTTTTTCTCTGCATCCTTGCCAGTATTAATTATCATTCAGCAATTTATAATAGTCATTCTGACAGGTGTGAGGTGATACCTCATTGTGGTTTTAGTTTATACTTCCCTGATGACTAGTGCTATTGAACATTCTGCCTTCTTATGACTGTTGGCCATTAGAATGTCTTCTTTTGAGAAATGTCTATTTGGGTCCTTTCCCCATTTTTCAATCAGGTTATTTGTTTTCTTATTATTGAGTTCTTTATATTTTGTCTATTTTGTATATTAGCTCCTTTTCAAATGTATAGTTTGCGCATATATTCTCCCATTCCGTAAGTTGTCTTTTCACTCTTTTGATTGTTTCCTTTGCTGTGCAGAAGCTTTTTAGTCTGATGTAATTCCAGGAAGATTTTTCAAAATTCCATTTTGTCTCCTTTGTTGGCTCAATAGCTATAATTCTATTTTGTATTTTGAGTGGTTGCTGCAAGGTTTACAGTATGCACCTTTAACGTAATCCATCTCCACTACACACGATATAAGAGCTTTGCAAAAAGCCTTCAGGCTTTTGTACTGTGTTGACATAACTTTTACCTTTACATGTTATAAATCTTACAATGCATTGTTAATATTTTTACTCTCAACATAGTTGTTATTTTTGGTGCTTTTAATTCCTTTCTGTAGACTCCTGTCTGGTATAAATTTTCTTCTGCATGAAGAACTTTATTTAACATTTCTTACTCTGGCCTCTCAGCTCTAATGCAAGTCTGCCAGTGATAAATTCCTTTAGCTCTTATGTGTCTGAACATCTTGATTTCACCTTTGTTTTAGAAAGATATTTCATCTGGGTATAGAATTCTAGTTTGTAAGTTTATACTTTCCCCAGGACTTGTCTGGCTTGCACAATTTCTGCAAGTCAGTTGTTGTCCTTATTTTTCTTCCTTTTTTTTTTTTTTTTTGTTTTTCCTTACAGAATGTGTCTAGTTTCTTCTGGCTTATTTTCTGTTGTTTTTCCCCCTTGCTGGTTTTAAGCAACATGTGATATGAAAACTTAGTAGAATTTTTTAATTGATATTTATGAAACATTTTAGGTCTGTGGTTTCCTAAAAATTCGGAAAAATTCTGGTCATTACATCTTGAAACATTTTTTCTCTCCCACCTCTTCCTCTTTGCTGGGACTCTACACATACACGAAATCGCCTGAAGTTGTTCTACATACAGCTCCAGACCTTTTTTCAACTGTTTTTTGTTTCATTTTGGATTTCTATTGTCATACGTTAAGTCCACTATCTTTTCGTTTGCAATGCCCAATCTACTAATTCCATTTGTGTGTTCTTCTCAGAAATCTTAATTTTCATTTCTACGGTTTGAATAGTGTTTTTTACATGAATTGTCTTTACTTAACCTTTTTTTCTAATTTCCAGAACGTATAAAATATAGTTATAATAATTGTTTTAATGTCTTCATCTATCCATTTGATCATCTCCGCCATTTCTGTTTCAGTGTAAATTGACATTTCTCATGATGCGTTATTTTCCTGTATATTTGTACGCAGGATAACCTCGAATGAATGATTATTATTACCTATGATGATTATTACCTTGTTGAGTGATGTACATTTTCTTTCCCTTTTCTTTTTTTTTTTTTTTGGTGATGGAGTTTCACTCTTGTAGCCCAGGCTGGTGTACAATGGTGTGATCTCAGCTCACTGCAACCACTGCCTCAGCCTCTCGAGCAGCTGAGATTACAGGCGCCCACCACCACACCCAGCTACTTTTTGTATGTTTTTAGTAGAGACGGGGTTTAACTATGTTGGCCGGGTTGATCTCAAACTCCTGACCTCAGGTGATCCACCCGCCTCGGCCTCCCAAAGTGCTGGGATTACAGGCATGATCCACCGCACCTGGCACATTTTCTATTCTGATATTTTTGAGCTTTGTTCTGGGAAATAACTGTTACTCAGAAACCCTTATCCTTCTGGATATGGCTTTTGTTAAACAGTACCAAGGCAGTATTTAGTCTAGCGCTAAGTAGTTTCCACTACTGAGGCAAAACTCTTCTAAGTACTATGCCCACTGCTCCGTGAATTGCTTTCTACAAGTGGCTGGTTGGAACAGGTATTACCCTTGCATGAGATTCGATGATTGTTCCATTACTTTCAGGTGGTTCTTTCACTGGCCTCACATAGTTTTCTTACATTCATGTGCTGATTTCTGCAGGTCTCCAGAGCTGTTTTTTGGTACCCTCCACCTGCTTCTTCCCTGCAGACGCTAGCTGTCTTGGCCTCCCAGTTCTGACTTCTCAACCAGAGGGAATGCCAACCTCCAACTTGATTTTCCTCTCCCTGTGCCACAAGCTGGACCCATCAGACATAATTTTGTTTGCTTTCCTCTCAAGGATCATTGTTCTTCATTGACTAATAGCTAATGCCTTAAAAATTGTTTTTATTCTGATGAAAACATGTGTGAAATTATTTCACATATCTCATCTTGTTTCTTCATTGCCTTAGGTGGGAGAGTAAATCTGGTAGTTACTCCATGTTAGGTGAAGGTGGAAGTTTTAAAATGCAAGCTGAAAACTCAAATCCTGTGCCAGGAAGCTCTGCTCCCATACAGTTATCTTTCTTATAGTCTGTGAATCCTATTCATGTTATCTTGTTTTTTTTGGGTGGGGGAGGAGGGGCAGGGACCACTCTGTCACCCAGGCTGGAGTGCAGTGGCATGATCTCAGCTCACTGCAATCTCTGCCCCCTAGGCTCAAGTGATCCTCCCACCTCAGCCTCCCAACTGGGACTATAGGTGCATGCCACGACATCTGGCTAATTATTTATTTTTTATAGAGACAGGGATTCACCATGTTGCCGAGGTTGGTCTTGAACTCCTGAGCTCAAGCGATCCACCCACTCGGCCTCCCAGTGTTGGGATTGCAGGCATGAGCCGTTGCACCTGGGCCATGATACCTTGTTGATACATCTTTTGAAATGTCTCTTCCTTTTTACCTTTTTCCACTCTGTGTTAACCATCCCACATATATGGTATTTCACTCATGCTTTATTGTTTTAACCTCTGAAAAGATCTTCCTGCCTCTACTCTTTAATCCAGTCCATACATTTCTATGTTACATATTTTTTACTATTTCCTAGAAGCTAGACTCTAATGTACACTGGCAATCCACAAACTTGCTGAATTAATGGACCATTCTTTAACAACCAATTTATTAGGCACTTCCATGGCTTAAAAACCCCTCCTAATTGCTCCCCTCTATCCATAGGTGAAGTTCAAGCTGAGACTGCCAATTGATGCTTTATATAAGCAGCTATTAATCAACCTATGTGAACCCTGCCACTTCCTAGCATATGTGATTCATTTTTAACATGTCTTAGAGCTATTACTAACTTGAAGCCTTTTTTCCATCTGTAGGATCTTTTCTACTGTCTCTTAAATTTTACCCAGTCTTAAAAGACCTGCCTTTCCAGTGTCCATACAGAATTCACTCTTCTCTGAATTTCTATAGCATCTATTATCTGTGGTAGTTTGAGCACTTTCAGTTTCTTCTGTGTTTGTGTGTGTGTGTTTTACTTTTGCATATATTTACAGTTTGTCTTTTCAAATGGACCAAAATCTGAGAGGTAGGAACCATCTTTTATAATTTTTTATGTATCTTAAGACATAGTAGACATTTCAATAGATATTTTGAAAATGAAGGCAGAGATCATCTTAATTTGCACAAGCTAATGGAATCACTTGTTTACAGTATATTGGTACTTGCTGCTCACCATATGCTTTTTCCCCCACACGGTGTGAAATGGCACTACTGGTGAAAATCACCTCAAAATAAGATCTTTTCGGTTTTAAGTCAAATTATATTTTAGAGAATATTATTGGATCAAGGTTCTGGAGTATATTTCATCTTATTCTTTCCATTTAACAAATAAATGCTATGCCCCAGTTTCTACAAAATAATTAATTTAATATAAGGGATGCCATATCAAATAATATTTCGACAGAAGCCAAGGAAATCCTGGTATCACATAGCCAGTGAACATAAACTGGTATTTATTTATGCAAACATATTGTAAAATTCCTCTAAATTCTCAAAAAATATTTATGTTGTCATGAACACATAAAAAATCTAAAGTGAGTATCAAGATTTCATTTGTAGTTCATAAAAGATACTGAAGTAAAATTCCTTTCTACAAACATATAAGAGTTGGCCACAGTGAGGAAACGTAAAACACATCAGTTTCTACCGTGGAAAACACATGAGGTCTATTTTTTTTTTAAAGTATCAGTGATAGGAATTCCTATAAAAAGATTAAATTCTCTTGTCGTAATGACAAGAAACCTTCATAGCTTCAATAATCTTGAAAACCTTCACAGCATCACCCTTTGCCAACTAAATTGAGAACACATACAATAAACTCCTCATACAGAGTACTTGTGTACTAGAAAACAGGTAATTCACATTCTGATAAAGAGCAAACGACAAGGGCTTTATTATGAGAACTGTTCAAGTAAAACTTCAGGGTGCACCAGTGAAAGTGAATAAAGATTTGCATCCATTTTTTTTGAATGAACACTAGGTTAAAAAGGGGCTACACATTTTTTTTCAAACACCACCCTTTGCTAAGGCAAAAAAAAAACCCAAAACCCACTTCATTTTAGAACATAACTGTTACAGAAGAAAGCTACATCACAGTACAGTACAGAACGTAAAATGCATCCTAGTCTGGAAGCCATTATGGAATGGCACATCACCTACACTTAGAGCCTTCTAATGTAGGTTGGAATTACAGTATTTATCACAGCTTTATTTTCTTTAAACTGATAAAATTTGAATACACTTTCTATTTTTCAAGAGTGTACAGATGGGGCCCATATGTTGATATTACAGTAATTACAACAGTAAATAACATTGCACAGTCAACCTCCAAGGCTAATTCAGTATAAAATAACAAGTATTAAAATGTACCTTTACTAGTGGTTTTACATCGCATATATCACTAATTATGAAAGAAAAGTAGGCAAATGCCCAATCACAAAGCGGCACATTATGGGCATAATGATGTGGAATAAATACAAGAAATCTGGCAACATATTTAAAACAGACCAGTTACATGGGAACAAACTGAACAACCACAGAAGCATAAATCAATATACTGGTATAAATAGTATGTTTTGCTCACAACTCCCTTAAGTAGTTATAGATATTACAGTGGCGGAGTGAAGAGGGTAGGAGAATGAGGCAAATGCTCCCAATGCCAGTTAATTCCTGAGGTGGCATTACTTCTTAACTGATGCATTGATCAACACTGTAAAGATGAGCCTGTGCTATGAAACAGTCCCAATATTCTTATATCCCCGCAATTACATTGCGGTATTCTGAAGGCAGCAACTCTACGTGACAGTTTATAATAGCCAGATAAAGTATTGTTTTTTTTTTTTTTTTAATTTTGCTGCTACAGTTAGCAGTGGATCAGAAAACACTTCAAAGTTCAAAAGAAACTTGATGTAGACAACATTTTCCCCAGTACTTCTTAGTTAGCTCAAGGCAAAGCTATTATTGAATTTCATGTACTTGAATTTAAAAACTCTAAGTGCCAACACTGTAAACATTTTGTATCTTCTCAACTAAACCTCATGGGATAACAAGGAAAAGAGCAAAGATAAGCAGGAATAATTTTGTGTATAATAAAGCTGATCTATTTTTCAGCTTCTGGTTTAAATTTAAATATGATCTTAAAATAATTTTTCAAGGTCCATGCTACAATTGTAAAGACTATTTCTATGCACTTTTAATTCTGGACACAATTTTCAAAAATTGCAAGATGGAAGTAAGAATTTAAAAAAACCCACCAGAATGTAAATAACAGGGAAGAACATTTTCAAATCAAACCATCAAACGTACATTTATGTGCAGAAATCTAGACAACTATACAAGTTTTTAAGCAATCATGTTTTATTATACAACTCTATGAACAGAAAATGAACAGAAATACACAATATACTTACCTGTACATGTGAACCTACTTTTTAAGCTACAGATATTTATTATAGTTCATACTGACTTGAATTTTGCAGTTCATAACTATGTATAACCTTATTGCATTAAGGGCAAACTCTACATGGGGAGATTCACAGGCAGACCACATTAGGCATTACCAGTACATTCAAAAACTGTACCTCATATATGTATGCATCTTCCCTGAACCTGTAAATGTGGATGTCTTTACAGCTTAAGCTCATTTGCTATTTTTGATGCAATGTTCTTAAAGGCAATAGATGTTCCAGATATTCGCTTGAAGCGGACCCCATTAAGTGACAGTCGTGGCAACTTGCAAACTTCCATCTCCCACTGCACGAGGCTATCCTGTCTAGCATCTCCATGGACACAGAAAAGCAAAAATCTCTCTTTTTGCTCATAATCACAGTTATTTGCATCTAACACTTTTCGGATTTCTCTCATCATGTCATTAGGGTCCATTGAACTAGTGGTCTTCATACTCCATGTGAACCGCAAAGAACGCGGCTTAGAATCTTTACCCTCTTCCTTGTCTCTTTCTTTTGGTTCCCCTGATGTACTTCTGGAAGAAGAGGGCAAAGGGAAAGAATGAAAACAAAAATATTTCACTTAGCAAAGAAATCAAAACGCACATAAAATCTAAGTGGTCATAATTCAGTGCCTAATAAAACTACTTTATTTGCAGACTACCCTGAGACAGATGGCAAAGATTTACATTATCTTGTGTTACAAAAACACACTCCAAGATGCCATCTGTTTTGACTTTTAATACTGTCAATCTAAAATAGCATTTTTTCTTAAATATAAGTGGCTTGAGGGAAACAAATCTGCAACTGAAAGTGAAGAACATAATACCTTCTTCAGGTCCATATTTCTCTGTTCAAGCACACACACAAAATAGGGACCACTAATATTGTACTCGTAAATATACACTTTTGAAATATAAACATTTCTTTTTTCTGCCTTTTTGGGTAGGAGGAATGTAATAACTTCAGAGGGAAAGATAATTCATTTACCTAATAATGTTGAGAAAGAATGTTGTATTGCAATTATGTAAAGATGTTAACTTACACTACACATCTCAGTGTCCTCCAGTGATTTCTCATTTCACTCAAGACATCCTTAGAACAGTCTACAACATTCCCCACGACCTGCACTCCAACTCCTACTCCCCCCACCTCATTTCCTAGAATTTTCCTCCTTCCTTACTCCTATCAGAACACACGGGTTATATTCTTGCCATGAGGCTGCTGCACAGACTGTTCCCTCTGTCATGAATGCTTCTCTCCAGATGGCTGTGTGGCTAACTCCTTTACAAATTTCTACTCACTTTCTGCATGAGGCTTTCCCTGACTGCCCTATTGCTCCCTAACTCCTATCCCGGCATGGCCAACCCCCTTCAGCCTGCTTTACTTTTTCTCCGTAGCACTTACCACATTCCATCATTTAACCCATTTGTTAGGGTGTTTATTGTCTGACTCTACCATTAGATTGTAAATTCCAGGAGGGCAAGTTTTGTCTGTTTCATTCACTGACAGATCTCAGGCATCTAAAACTGTGCTGGGTCCACAGTAACTATTAACATATTTGTTAAATGACTGAATCTCACTGAATTTTACTTATTGCTGGTATCCCACCAATAACATGAAAACAAGAAACCTATTTCAAATAATCATAGGAAAAAACCTTCATAGCTTCATCAAAGTTAATAAATTATTTGTGATACAGAAAATCCTGTAATCAAATTTCTTGAACAGTTATCCAAATAGAGATGTTACAGTTGCAACTTGTTACTTTATCTCGCTTATCTGTGATTTAAGAAAAAAATGTACTTTGAAAGTTTATAATCTACTGCATACATACTTTAAATTAATATATACACATTTTATATCAATAGTATAATATATATTCATGTATATGTTTACATATCTATAATTTTATATATATTGTCCACTTCATTTCCAGGTATCTGAGCCCCGCAAAGCTTCTGCAAACTATACAATCCTGAGAAAAATAAGGAAAGGAATAGGTAGAGAAAATAAATTTCCAAAAACTATTAATAATTATGGAAAGTATTTACTTCATCCTGTTCTCTATTTTTCTCTTTTTGCTCACTGAATCTAAGCCATTAAATCACAGGACTCTTGGGGCTTGCAGAGCGAACTACAGTCATTTACCAAGGTCACATGTATAACTCCAGTGGAATCAGCAGGCTAGCACCTGCACCAAGCACCTTGGGAGGCTGAGGTGGAAGGATGAGAGATCAGTTGACTGAGTACTCATTTTAAAGATGGAACTGATGGCTGGAAAACTTAAAATTAGTTTTCTGTGGCTCACACCTGTAATCCCAGAACTTTGAGAGGCCAAGGCAGGAGGATCGCGAGGTCAGGAGTTCAAGACCAGCCTGGCCAACATGTGAAACCCCATCTCTATTAAAACTACAAAAATTAGCTGGGCATGATGGCATATGCCTATAATCCCAGCTACTCAGGAGGCTGAGGCAAGAGAATTGCTTAAACCCGGGAGGCAGAGGTTGCAGTTCTGAAGCCATAGAGCTAATTCAGAATACTACTCTAAGTCTAGTTTCTTTCTATTCCACATTAAGATGACCTTAAGACAATAAGATGTTTTTCTGCATGGCCTCGCAGACATTGCCACTGATACTGTCAATTGTAGCAAGCTTCTGGAAATGTGGATATTAATATAAGAACAGCTAACATTCATGGAGTACTCATTAGGTGCAGCAAGTGTCCTAACTGCCTAAAATGTATTAATTCCTCATTGATCCCTCAGAACAACCCTAGGAGGCAGTTAGAGTGAGGAAATGGAGGCACACGGAGCTGAAGTAACTTCCTGAAAGCCACACAGTAAGGTAAGCGGGGGAACACAGCTCAGACCCGCAGTCTGGCTGAGAACCTGCACTTCTAATCACGGTACTGCCCCATCTCCCTGACATGACAGAACTTCATTATAACTGGCTTGATCCTACCTATGTTTTTTGCTGTTTTTTTTTTTTTAATCTGTAAATCGGCATTTTTCACCTGGTGGTTGTGAAATTAAATGCTGAGAAAGCACCTTTTAGTCTCCAGAAAGTCTGTCCAAAAGCAAAAAGAGAACGAAACCCACCAACAACCAACAAAAAGGAATATGAAAAGTGTTGTGTAAACATTTATAAAAGATCCGTGACTAATTCTTATAATGTAATAAAATCATGTAGTTATATTTAAAGGATAAAAATGCAACTTTTTTTTTTTTTTGAGATGGAGTCTCACTCTGTTGCCAAGCTGTACTGCAGTGGCGTGATCTTGGCTCACTGCAACCTCTGCCTCCTGGGTTCAAGTGATTCTCCTGCCTCAGCCTCCCGAGTAGTTGAGACTACAGATGTGCACCACCACGCCCACCTAATTTTTGTATTTTTAATAGAGATGGGGTTTCACCATGTTGGCAGGGATGACCTCATCTCTTGACCTCATGATTCACCTGCCTCGGCCTCCCAAAGTGCTGTGATTATAGGCATGAGCCACTGTGCCCAGCCAAAAATACAACTATTAATGGCCACTTACAAGGTCATATACACTACTAAATGTCTCAGAGGGAAATTTAGTGGAAATACAGGATGAGATGCAAGAAGGGGGCTCAAAAATGAAGACTGAGGGAGAGGCTAAGAACAAGTCCTCCATGTTTGTGTAAAAGGCAGAAGAAAGTTAAGAATATTGGTCTTGCTCCCCTGTGGCTCCCTACTATGGTAACTCAGGTACCTAACTCTACAAAGAAACATTTCAACTCAGGCCGGGTGCGGTGGCTCAAGCCTGTAATCCCGGCACTTTGGGAGGCCGAGGTGGGTGAATCACGAGGTCAAGAGATCGAGACCATCCTGGTCAACATGGTGAAACCCCGTCTCTACTAAAAATACAAAAAAAATTAGCTGGGCATGGTGGCGCGTGCCTGTAATCCCAGCTACTCCGGAGGCTGAGGCAGGAGAATTGCCTGAACCCAGGAGGCAGAGGTTGCGGTGAGCCGAGATCGCGCCATTGCACTTCAGCCCGGGTAACAAGAGCGAAACTCCGTCTCAAAAAAAAAAAAAAAAAAAAAAAAGAAATATTTCAACTCTTACTACAGTTTGCTAAAAAGACATGGGAGTGCTATAGTTTTCTCCAAGTTCATTATGTTTTATATTTTAAATAATTTGAAAAGTAGAAATCAAATTGGAGGCTTATGTTCAGCTGGTTACGGCCGTTCCTGAATGAAGCCAGATGCCTGTCCTACTGTGAAATACTTGTTGGTTCTAAGATTTATATTGCATACCTTAATGCCTGTGTACACTCAAAATAAATTAGTGCCTTCATTTCTTAAATTTCCCGCTTGTAAAATATGAACACAAGTACTAACATGTCCCTAATGTGGTCCCTAGAACAGCAGCATAAGCATCTCCTGGGGACTTGTTAGAAATGCAAATGCTCAGGCACCTGCCTCGGCCTCTGAATCAGAAACCCTGGGTGTGGGATCCAGCAATCTTTTTATCAAGTCTTCCCTGTAATTCTGATTGTGCTCAAGTTTGAAACCCACTGCCAGAATGAATGAAATGTCAAAAAAAAAAAAAAAAAAAAAAATCCCCAAAAGTATGGCAGGGTAGAATTTTTAAATGTGATCAAACACTGAATTGTCACCTAAAATATATTTCTTACATCAAATCTTCCTACGTGGAATCATTTCCCTGTTCTGTGTTATTTGTGCTCTTTGACTCCAATTAATTTGTCATATCACTTGAGTGAGAACAATATCTGTACATTTAATCAATTAATTCTTCAGCTTAACATATTTTATAAAACAGAACGCCTATGTCTTTACCAAGTTCACAATTCAAATGAATGTTTAGAAAACAAACTCAAAAGTTGACTGACTTGAATGCTAGGTAACATTATGAAAACCCACCCCAAAATAAAAATCTAAAATAGGCATGCTATCTGGTTATTAGATCTATTCATGATCATTAAGTGCTATAAGTATTTCCAAAGTACGTTTTCATACACAGGGGCCTAGCAGCGAAGTATTAATAGTGGCTCCTCACCTTGAGGTGTCAGTTCTGCCACTGGCTTCGCCTTCACTTGGATCCCTCAAAACAAAGTGAAGGTTGAGATTTAATGATAAAAGTAAAAAATATATCAAGAAAACCTATATCTAAAATGATTTTAAAATTAGCTTGTTGAGCAAACTTCTACCATGACAATTTCTATTTCGAGTCAGTCTGAGACTGTTTCTCGCTTTTCATCGTAACTGCATGTCATTATCATTGAGCGTCTACTCATTATTGTCAAGAGGCAATATGAGGTGAAAGTTTAACGTTTTTTTCATAATCTTCCAATTCCCAGCCATGATTCATCTGAAGTCATAATTTATCTTTTGGTTTAATTTAGCTTAATCTAAAGTTAAAACTATTTAATAATTATCAGTAGCAAGATTCAACTTCAAATTTGTAATTATGTATAATTCTGGTAGTCGCTCAATATAAAATATATATATATATTAACCTTACAGTAAGCAAATCAATACCAATTTCTACATAAGCAATTTCTTCTATAAGCATTTCCTTTAGAAGTTAGGCTAACAATTCATGCACATGATAAAATACCACAACATACTAACAGCCTAGCCATGTAGGTGAGTCTAAAAACACAGATTCAATCTTAAGCAAAAACACTGATCTTACCTGGATATCCACCTGTGAAATGAAACCAGAAAAACACTACTAATTGTTCTTGTGTTGGATATAATTAAAATGTATAAAGTCTACCAAAATTTTAACCCTTTGTCATTTTTAAAGGTAATTAAATATCTTGTGATAGAGGCCAAAACACTATTAAATAGTGGGAAAAATCACCAACTTGAATCCTTAAGATAATGTTGTCTTAATGTTTTAGCCATTCCAGAAACATCTGTATTATTTATATTAAATGAATGCAACAAGAATAAAATCAGTGGCACTCTCCCATCCCCTAAGTCAATAAAATATACCCGCACACCAAACTCTAAAACTTTAAATGGTTCTCAAAAATATGAATGCCTTATGCATCTCAGGGTCTTTAATACATGCCTGTCTTAACAAGCATATTATGAAAAACAAGTTTTCTATCTGAATTTAAAAGAATACTAAAATGTATTCTCACATTCAAATGTAATTTCTTAAATTTCTAATAACTGCATTTTCATTGGGAAGTATAATAAAAATTCAATGCCATCTATACAAATCCATTTTTATTATAGCACACTGAAATAATAAAACATTTTTGAGCAGGCTCAAAGTGAAACATACATTTTCCATTACATGTAGATGAACTGACACACAGATGGGCAGTGTACCAACTTGGCAAGCAAGACAGTAATGCTGTTGCCTCCCACTGCTAAGATAAAATTCCTTTAGGAACGGACATACATCTCATTAGACTTTTCTGTCCTATTTATATTACGCTTTATTAATCACTAGCAAACACCTATTCCACTATTGCCAAACTTGAAGCATTAGGAGTGAAATGTCCCTTAGACTCTTATCCTCTGCTATAATTGACTGAAATAGCAATTGACCCATACCCTGTTCCTGCCTACCTGGATGCTAGTAGAACACTGGAAGAACTTCTGCTACTTGGTAATTGTTTAAAAAATCCCAAGAAGTCTGCTCTCAGTGGCCATGGTAGGAGGCAGATGGGGCTGCAGAAGGCACAGCTGGCTCTAACAGCATTTGCAGTGCAGCATGGCTCTTCAACACTTAACATTTAAAAACAGTTACCTACATATAGCAATATATACTCAACTGAACAAATTGGGTTATTCCCTACATAAGAATGAGCTATGGTTAGAAAATCATAAGGTTTGGTGTAGAAGTGAGCCATGCAGGTATTTAGGGCAGAGAATTCCAGGCAGAAGGAATAGCAGGTACACAATGCCAAAGCAGTGCTTAATGTACGTGAGGGCAGTCAGGTGCCTGTGTGGCTGGTGGGGAATCAGCCAGGGGAAGAGTGGGAGAAGAAGAAGTCAGAGCAGAAATGGATGGCCAGGTTACACAAGGCCCCACAGGCCACGGTGAGGGCACAGAATTGTATTCTGAGCAAGATGGAAGCTAATCAGGGACTTTAAATCTAAGAGTGACATGATCAGACTTGACATGACACTGCTGAAACAGAAGAGGAGGAGGACCAGGACAGAAGCTAGGGGACCTATGAGTAGGTGAAAGACGAACATTGATTCAGAGTATGAAAGCAGTGATGGGAGTGATGAACAGTTAAATTCTGGAAGTGCTATGGAGGTAAAGCCGGCACAATTTGCCAATGGATCTGATGTGGTACGAGAAAAAGAGGGGCCAAGGATAACTCCAAGACAGTGAAGAACGAGGGAGGGACAGGTTTGGGAAGAGGAACAAGAGTTGAGTTTTGAACATGTTCTGTTTCAGAGTCTATAACATATCCAAGCAGAGGGCTGAGCAGCAGTTGGCTATGAGTCTGCAGTTTAAGAGAGAGATGTGGGCTAGAGATACACTTGGGAGTTGTTCACACAGGATGGAATCTAATGTCATGAACTGACTGAGATCACTGAGTGTAAGGAAAACCAGAGAGAGAGAGAGAGAGAGAGAGAGGAGGGCTACAGATACACTTGGGAGTTGTTCATATAGGATGGAATCTACTCTCATGAGCCTGACTGAGATCACCAAGAGTGTAAGGAAAACCAGAGAAAAGAATGTGTTCAAAGACTGAGCCCTGGGGCATTCTAATACTTAGAGGTTGAGGGAAAGGCAAGGGAATCTGAAAAGAGCCAGCAGAGGAGCCTGGGATAGCTAGTCTGTGAGTCAGGAGAAAATCAGAGCTAAGCAAGGGAAACGCTTTAACTGTGCGGAATGTTTCAAGATGGTAAGTTGCTCACGGGAAGGCAGGAGCCCCATTAGTCCCACTCACTGCTGTACAATAGCTCCTACAAAAGTGCCTTGGATGTAGTAGGTCTTCACGTATGTGTTCCATGACTATACGGCAATCCTTTTTCAGAACCTCCCAACAGATCATCTCTAAGGCACTTTCTTGCTTTGACGTTCTGTCTCCTGACTTCCTGTCCACAGTACCCTTTACTATGTTTCCTCTAGAGTCTAAATCTTTGTTGCAGAGCAAAGAGAAGTATTTCGCACAATGCTTAATGCAAAATTAGTAATCAAGCATTAAACTCCAAACCTATTTTTTTCACTTTAAAATTAATTCTGGCTTAACCAGGAGAAAGTACTGGCTTTTTGAAATGGCCTTAAATAGCCAAATTCCAAAAGTAGAAACCTATTGATAATCTGACTAGTACCCTGCAGATGGCCCGCTAAAACTATCATCGAACTTCTGTGCTGACTCTGATGGTGAACTTTTTCTTTCTCTGGCAAGTTGTCATGCTGCATAGCAATTGCCCAAAGAGTACAAACTCATTGACAGGTATGGTGAGAAATTTATGTTACATTTGAGGCTTGAAGGTTTTTAATTTAGCTATGTGATACTGGGCAAACTGATGGATGAACCAGGTCTATAAATAGCTCCATGACAAGGAAGTAAGACTGAAGCTGCTGCTTCTCTTTTCCACATCCACTCTTTGAAATCCTAGGAACACTAATAACATTGAAAATTAATCATTTAATTAGCATTTCTTAAAGCAAGTATAATTATTTCTAGCCTATCACTGAAGGCTTGGCTGAAATGATGATATGATAGGGTGCCTTCACTGTCTCCCTAGAGAGAAACGATTGTGTCTTCCTCTGGAATCCAGCACGTTGCCCACACTTTTTAGCACATGTTCTGGTTTATATCATGGCTAGTTGTTTGTCTGCTTCTTACAAGACTGTAAAAATCTGGAGGGCACAGATGTTGTCTCACCTATCTTTAGATTCTGTTCTGCACCTAACACAGTGCTTTGTCTGTCACAGGGCTTAAGTAGACATTTACAGGACACAAAAATAGATCAAATAGACATCAGCCTGCATTGTAGTCAGCAACCCGTATCATCAATGTGCACTGTACATGTATGCATAGTAAGCATGCTTACTTTTTAGAAAGTATAATTGCATTGCTTAAGCAGATTAGAACTTTACATGTATTCATTTTGTGTTTCCTATGTTCTGATGTTAAGGTTTTATGATGTGAAATTACATAGATCTATGACTCTGGTATGTGGGCTTTTTATGCAAAGAAGAACAAAATGTAAATTATATATTATTAGCAAGCAATTTAAAAGTATTTTCAAGATAAATATTGTTTGAAGAAAACATGTAAACTCATTTATTTTTCTCAATCAAGGCTTTTAAATATAAAACAATCTTTTGTTAAAACACACATTTTTAAAGTCAAATTTTTGTTCTTTACATTTTATTTTATAGATTTTTAAAATCTCATTTTGTCCATTTTTTTCTTTCTCTTAAGGAAAAAGACTTTATGTCTTCCTAATTTTTTTCTTCCAAATCTGTAAAAGAGCATCTCTAATGAAATGTTATAAAACCACTTTGGAAAATTATTATAAAGATTTAAGAAAAAAGTAATTCCCTTTGTAATTTCTAGAGGAAACAAAACACGATAGTACATTGGTACTGACCTGCGAACAAATTTGGATGTGATTTTGCTTATTATACCAGTTGACGTTCCCCTTCTGGCATGTGCAAATGCACCCGTTTCGTGGGATGGTGAAGCAGGTGGCCCATTATAAGCAGCGCTGCGTCGCTCCCGGAGCTGTTCACCATGGAAAGTGCTTCGGCTTGAGCTCCCTCGGGGAAAGCGGGTCCGGTCTGGAGTCGCAGTACTAATACTGTGAGCAGATGGGGAAGCAGCAGGCACTCTCTGGGTTGTACTGCTGGGACAAATTAAGATATATCATTTAGAATAATGACAAGAAAACCTTTCACTCATGCTAAAAACTTGAAACAAATGGCTATGGCTACTTCTTTTGGCCCTACTTTATTTGTTCGCATTACAGCTGTGAGACATGAGTTAATTTTATTTACTATATCGTTGGAGAGGAATAAAATTTCAGACTGAAACTAGGTACCTTTTGTCTGGTGACTAAAAATTAAGAAATGACTGAAACAGGGACACAAAGATGAATACTCTTCAGTATCAGGAATCCCAAACCAGGGGTAGTGCAAATATTTTTTTAATATTCTCCTGAACCACTTAGCAATGCTGAACACAAATTTTATTGTCTATTAAAAAGACATTGAATAAAGTAATTTCCCATTTCTAATTTAGGCTTCAGTGATGGTACACCACCACATGGCACTACCAATATGCTTAACAAATCTAACAGAGGGTTAAAATATTCAGAAGTACTGAATTTGAGAAATCCTAAAATAGAAAAATACTAGAAAACCAGTTATATAATTTTATACCCGAATCGGCTCTTGAGTTCATCAATTTCATTGACAGGAAAACTGAAGCCCTGTTTTTTTAAGAACAAGGAACTGAGCCTGATCATTACCCAAAGGTCTCAACTCCAAGTTTAGTGCTTGTTTGGATATGTTTAAATCATAAAAAAATCACTTTACCTAAGTGACAAATTAAGCAGCAATATTTAACTTTATAGATGGACTTAAAACCAAATCCTTAAAAAAATTCCTCTAGAAAATGACTCAAGTTATATGCAACATTTCCAATAACAGCCAAAGCACACAGAAAATTTATGATACAATTCAGTTTTTCCTCTATTACAAACACTGAATCTTGTCAGAAAGGTCTTACTTAATGTGATGGTGACTATCATGTATTTTCACACGGTACTTTATATTTTTTTATTTTTTATTTTTTTGTAATCGCGTATATTTAGAATTTTTTTTTTATTTTTTATTTGATTTTAGGTTTTGGGGTACATGAGCAGAACATGCAAAGTACTATATATTTTTAAACAGTGAACAAAATGAAATGTAACCAGCACATTACCCAGGCCGGTAAGCTTCAGAGCCGTCTTTAATGGTTGGCAGTGTGACTTTAATAGGATGACCAGAAGTAGACATGGACTTCTGGTGGCGGGGTCGTGCTGAGGGGACAGCAGAGGCCACAGAAGAGCCTGCAGAAGATATGCTACTCACAGACATCTCTGTAAGGCTTTTGTCAAAAAGCAGTAGAGAAGACCATGGAAATGTAAAAAAGAAGAAAAATTGTGGTTTACTAAAATTTAAGAACTATATTTTTAAAAAATCTAAACTGAATAACTTCTCATGACTGAAATATTTGAAAGAAACTAACATTAACAGCAATATTAATGACTGACAAAAAATTAATATTCTTATGAAAAGTATCCAGGGTAAATGTATCACTATCATCCATGAAAAAAATCTCACACACACTTACTCTATGTATGTAAATGTGAGAAAGCATAAAATTCTTTTTGTGGAGATACAATAATTTCAGACAAAATGATTATGACTAAGTCATTTTTTACTTCCCCAAAATCACAGTTTGGTGTGATATGTTGATGTAGTTCATTGTCCATTATTGATACAATCAGAATTGGTAATTATACCAAAAATATTATCTCTGGATACATCAACACACTTTTAGATCATATCATGAGTCAATAGGTTAACAGTGGCAGATAAAAGGAGCCGCAGCTTAAAATTTAGTACCGGAAAAATCGTAAGTCTGAAATCAATTTCCAATTATCTTATCTGCAAAGAAGATAGATACAGTTTTCTTTGCTTGCCTTACAATAACACTTACTTTACAGTCTTATCAGGTGAGACTGCTTTGTACACACTGCTGAAATGATGGAAGGTGGATCTGAGGAAAGAATGTCACTAGAACAGGCTCCAGGCCTTTGTGCTACATTGCTGAGCAGTCCTTCTGACTCATGACAGAAAGAAGTTACATTTTTTAAATAATAAAAATAATATGGGTTATAATTTGAAATGAAACACTTTAAAAATTATATGGTTCTGAATGATGAGAAATAAGATGGCCACATTTTTTCAGAGGGAGGAAGATAAAGTCTTTATTATTCAAATACAGTAATGACTTGATGGGAGGTGAAAGGACAGGAAGCAGCAGGTGCAGAAAAGAGTAAGATTTAAATTATGAAGATGAAATTAGGATGGTATGATCTGCTTTGCTACAGAAAAATATTTACTATCAGATTTTACTCAGAAATTGGTAGGTAAAGAGAATTATTTCCTGTTTTCTCTAAATGTTTTCCCACCCTTCTATCCTGGTCCGGAGAGATGTCTTAGTAAGAATGGTTGGCTGCAATCTTACTATTTCATATAGTAACTCCTTTTCCCTGGACGCATTCAGCCGCAGGCATTTCAGCAAAAGCACTAACAAAGAACAATAGCAAAGGTATTACTACTTGGCACTGTGGCATTTACCTGCTGTCTTTTCCGTTCTGCAATGCTGCATATCGATCTGTGGTCCTTTCACAGACATAAGTATTCCTTCTTGCCATGCTACCTCCAGAATACACATTGTTCTTTAAGAAGAAAAAAAGGCAATTTAAAAATTCTAAATATATTTGTGGAAAGTCAAAGAAATGTATTTAAGGAGATTTTGAGAAAAATACAGAATTTTAATTGATCCAAATCTTACATTAACAAGATTTTCCCCTTCCTCCCTCTCATTTAGCTTTAAGAAGTAAAAGACAAAGCATCAAAAATGAACTCATCAGTTTTAGCTTATCCTCCAATAGATGCCAGCAGTTTGAAAGCAACAGGAGAGTGGGGTTTCTATTCTCTCCCTCCTTTGTGAGCTGGTGGTGGAGAAAGGGCAGGAGCAGGGGTGTGAGCAGCTCTAAGTAACTAGGAGTGCAAGTCAACTCTACACTAAGTATCGTCACCAGCAGAAGCCTGGGGCAGTGAAGACGGCATGCCCACTCAGAAGCCTGTGGGCTGCCTTTCTTCACCTGCTTGAGAAACTCTCTCAACCACTGGGAATATTAAGCAGACTAAATGCCCTGGGATCAACGGCATGTCTGGCTGAGGCCACCAACAGTGTTGTGTGCAGTGCCACAATGAAGATATTTATTTCCTCAAGTCTCAGGTTTGAGCTAGGAGGCAGGCCATTTCTGAGGAGCTTTGGAGAAAAGAGAGAAAATAAGCAAAAAGGGATAGATAAGTCATTCTCCTTACCATGCACACAACCTCTGACCTGTAAACCCATTGCTGTGCCTGTCAAATCCGTGACTAGTTACTCACTGGTAATAAAATATACATAAATGATTTTCAGTGTGCATATAATACTCTTCTGTTTAATCCTTACTCCAACAAAACAAAAAAACTTGCTACTTTTGGCTAATCCAGCATTTAAAATATATAATCAACCTAAACATTGTTGAATCATGAGGGCTAAAAAGTGAATAGATATTTGCTTGAATTCACTTTGAAGAAGGAAAAAACTCATATAAACAAAACTATATAAATACAGATGTAAAATTTTTCAGTAATGCAGATTCCGAGATGGAAGGAATTTTGTCATCAGTTATATAAAAGCATATGTTAAAAACTATAAACTATGGAACCAAAGAGGCTAAGATTATTAAAATTCTTAAGTAAGACTTGGAACATGTAGGCCGATTGTGGTGGCTCAATCACAACATTTTGGGAGGCAAGGAGGGCAGACTGTTTGAGGCTAGGAGTTCACGAACAGCCTGGGCAACCCTGTCTCCACAAAAAGTACAAAAAAAAAAATTAGCTGGGTGTGATGGCACACATCTGTAGTCCCAGCTACCAGGGAGGCTGAAGTGGGAGGATCACCTGAGCCAGAGAAGTTGAGAATACAGTGAGCTGTAATTGCACCACTGCACTTCAGCCTGAGCAACAGAGCGAGACCCTGTCTCAAAAAGAAAAAAAAAAAAAGACTTGGTCCATGTTACTAAGACAAAGAAAACGGATTTGATTATGGAGAGATGCATTATGAAACTAACTTATACTAAAGTTCTCAAAAAAGCTAGAAATGTCATCCATATTTCATAGTTTTGAAGACACTGTTTCATTACCTGCTTTCCCATTTAACATGTCATTAACGTCCAGCCACATCAAGTGATACTAAAGTGTTACAGCTGTAGCCTATGCAACTGTACAGACATACCATATTTTATTTTAACCAATAAGTTCCGAATTTTTGAACACTTAAATTATTTCCTACCTTACTCTTAGAAGCTACGGACATTTAATTCCCTAGAAATTAATTGGAAATTTAAAATAGAGGACAAACCTGAAAGGCTGTAAAATCACCCCATGAGCACCAAATGTACCAATATAAAAATACGTGCTTTTGATAATCTCACAATTTTGGCCAAATTTTCATATAAATAACTTAATTCCTTGTCAAATCATGTTACCATACACCATCTAGAAGCTTTTAAAAGTGTTTCAGGCTGTTCTCAATGACATTTCTTTCCTTTTCAAAGGCTGATGGTGAATGATATCTCTCCTTCCAAGCTGTGTCTCTGAATTTGTACTCCTCCCACCCTACCTCCCTTGCTTTGAGTCTTCAATGCCAGTGACATTCAGGTGCAACAACCGTCAGTTGTATTTCCCCAGGGAAATTCAGAATTATGCAAAAGTTAGGGAAACGAACTGTCACTGCTTCCATTTGTCATACATTCACATATAAAACTAACTTTTATAGCTGACCTTCCTAGTTCAAATAAAAAAGCTCCAGAGATCCCTAAGAAGGTAAGGTTCATTCTGCGGAGGATTTGGGAACCAGGTGGAAACTACCCAGGCCGACTTTGGAACTCTAGTTTAGCAACTTCCCCAAACTGGAAACCAATCATGTAAACAACTTTTTGGAGATTCTTTCACAGTAAAGTGATTATATTTTATGAAATTATACCATAATTTTATATACAGTATTTAATACTTATTATAGTATTCTTAATTTTTAGTCTTCCTAAAAGAAATCTCTTCTTCCCCCTTTTTTTGGTTGTTTTAAATGCTGTTTTGATTTTTAAATCTTATTTTTAAATAAAATAAAATAAGGGGTACATTTGCAAAATGCACAGGTTTGTTACATAAGTAAATGTGTGCCATGGTGGTCTGTTGTACCTATCAACCCATCGCCTAGGTATTAGGACCAGCATGCATTAGTTATTTTTCCTAGTGCTCTCCCCCAACCTCCACCCTCCCCTGAAAGGCCCTAGTGTGTGTTGTTCCCCTCTCCGTGTCCATGTGTTCTCATTGCTCAGCTTCCACTTTTAAGTGAGAACATGTGGTGTTTGGTTTTCTGTTCCTGCATTAGTTTGCTGATGATAATGGCTTCTGGCTTCGTCCATGTTCTGGCTTCAACCTCATTCCTTTGTATGGCTGCATAGTATTCCATGTTGTATATGTACCACATTTTCCTTACCCAGTCTATCACTGAAGGGCATTTGGGTTGATACCATGTCTTTGCTATTGTGAATAGTGCAACGAAGATAAAACGTGCATGTACCTTTGTAAAAGAATGATTTATATTCCTCTGGGTATATACCCAGTAATGGGATTGCTGGGTCAAATGGTATTTCCAGTTCTAAGTCTTTGAGGAATCGCCACTGTCTTCCTCAATGGTTGAACTAATTTACATTCCCATCAACAGTATAAAAGTGTGTGTCTGTGTGTGTGTGTGTGTGTGTGTGTGTGTGTGTGTGTGTGTGGTTTTTTGTTGTTTTTTTTAGACGGAGTCTTGCTCTGTTGCCTAACTAGAGTTCAGTGGCAAGATCTCGGCTCCCTGCAACCTCTGCCGCCCAGGTTCAAGTGATTCCCCTGCCTCAGCCTCCCAAGCAGCTGGGACTACAGGTGCGCACCACCACGCCAGGCTAATTTTTTGTATTTTAGTAGAGACGGGGTTTCACCATGTTGGCCGGGATGGTCTCAATCTCCTGACCTCATGATCCGCCTGGCTCAGCCTCCCAAAGTGCTGGGATTACCGGCATGAGCCACTGCACCCGCTAAAAGGGTTTTTATTTCTCTGCAACCTCACCAGCATCCGGTTTCTTGACTTTTTAATAATCACCGTTCTGACTGGCATGAGATGGTATCTCATTACGGTTTTGATTTGCATCTCTAATGATTAGTGATGTTGAGCTTTTCTTCATGTGTTTGTTAGCCACGTTTATGTCTTCTTTTGAGAAATGTCTGTTCATGTCCTTTGCCCACTTTTTAATGGGGTTGTTTTTCTCTTGTAAATTTAAGTTCCTTGTAGATTCTGGGTATTAGACCTTTTGTCAGATGGAGAGATTGTAAAAATTTCTTCCATTCTGAAGGTTGTCTGTTTACTGTGATGATAGTTTATTTTGCTGTGCAGAAGCTCTTTAGTTTAATTAGATCCCATTTGTCAATTTTTGCTTTTTGTTGCAATTCTTTTTGGCAATTTCATCATAAAATCTTTGCCCATGCCTATGTCTTGGGTGGTATTCCTATCTGAATACCCTTTATTTCTTTCTCTTGTCTGATTGCCATGGCCGGAATTTTCAATACTATGTTAAGTAAGAGTGGTAAGGGAAGGCATCCTTGTCTTGTGACAGTTTTCAAGGGGAATGTTTCCAGCTTTTGCCCATTCAGTATGATATTGACTGTGAGCTTGTCATATATGACTCTTACTGTTTTAAGGAACTCAAAATATGTTCCTTCAATACCTAGTTTATTGAGTTTTTAGCATGAAGCAGTGTTGAATTTTATCAAAGGTCTTTTGTCTACTGAGATAACCATGTGGTTTTTGTCTTTAGTTCTGTTTATATGACCAATTATATTTATTGATTTGCATATGTTGAACCAGACTTGCATCCTGGGATGAAGCCATCTTGATCAGGGTAGATAAGCTTTTTGATGTGCTGCTGGATTCAGTTTGTCAGTGTTTTATTGAGGATTCTTACATCCATTTTCATCAGGAATACTGGCCTGAAGTTTTCTTTTTTTGTTGTATCTCTGCCAGGTTTTGGTATCAGGATGATGTTGGCTTCACAGAAAGTCAGGGAGGAGTCCCTCCTTTTCATTTGTTTGGAATAGTTTTATAAGAAATGGCTCATCTTTGTACCTCTGTTAAAATTCAGCTGTAAATCCATCTAGTCCTGGGCTTTTTTTTGGTTGGTAGGCTATTTATTACTGCCTCAATTTAAGAACTTGTTATTGGTCTCTTCAGGAATTTAATTTCTTCCTTTCAGTCTTGGGAGGATGTATGTGTCCAGAAATGTATCCATTTCTTCTAGATCTTTATCATTTGATTGTGTTTATTTGAATCTTCTCTCTTTTCTTCTTTATTAATCTAGCTAGTGGTCTATATATTTTATCGCTATTTGTTTTAAAAACCAGCTACTGGATTTACTGATTTTTTGAGGAGTTTTTCATGTCTGTCTCCTTTAGCTCTGCTATGAGCTTCGTTATTCCTTGTTTGCTAGCTCTTGGTTCTCTAGTTCTTTTAGTTGTGATGTTAGGGTATTGATTTGAGATCTTTCTAGCTTTTTGATGTAGCATTTAGTGCTATAAATTTCCCTCTTACCACTGCTTTAGCTGTGTCCCAGAAACCCTGGTAGGTTTTCTTTTTGTTCTTATTAGTTTCAAATAATTTCTTGATTTCTGCCTTTATTTCATTACCCAGAAGTCATTCAGAAGCAGATTGTTCAATTTCCACGTAGTTGCGTGGTTTTGAGTGTATTTCTTAATCTTGAGTTCTAACTTGATTGTACTGTGGCCTGAGACACTGTTAAGACTTCAGTTCTGCATTTGCTGAGGAGTGTTTTACTTCCAATTCTGTGATCAATTTTAGAATAAGTACCATGTGGCACCAAGAAAAATGTATATTCTGTTGTTTTTGGGTGGAGAGTTCTGCAGATATCTATCAGGTCCACTTGGTCCAGAGCTGAGTTCAAGTCCTGAATATCTTTGTTAATTTTCTGTCTTGATGATCTAATACTGACAGTGGGGTATTAAAGTGTTCCACTATTATTGTGATGAGGGGAATCTAAGTCTCTTTGTAAGTCTGTAAGAACTTGTTTTATAAATTTGGGTGCTCTGGTATTGCATGCATATATATTTAGAATAGTTAGCTCTCCATGTTGAATTGAACCTTTTACCAGTATGTGATGCCTTTGTCTTTTTTGACCTTTGTTGGTTTAAAGTCTATTTTGTCAGAAACTAAGATTGCAAACCCTGTTTTTCTTTCTGCTTTCCATTGGCTTAGTAAAGTTTCCTCCATCCCTTTATTTTGAGCCTGTGTGTCTTTGCACTTGAGATGTGTCTCTTGAATACAACACACTGATGGATCTTGTCTTTATCCAGCATGCCATTCTGTCTTTTAATTCGGGCATTTAGCACATTTACATTTAAGGTTAATATTGTTTTGTATGAATTTAATCCTGTCATCATAATGCTGGGTGGCCAATTTTGCAGACTTGTGAATGTAGTTGCTTCACAATGTCATTGGTCTGTGTACTTCAGTGTGTTTTTGAAATGGCTGGTAACAAATTTTCCTATCTATGTTTAGTATTTCCTTCAGAAGCTCTCATAAGGCAGGCCTGGTGGTGGCAAAATCCCTCAGCATTTGCTTATCTGAAAAAGATTTTACTTCTCCTTCGTTTTTGAAGCTTAGTTTGGCCAGATATGAAATTCTGGGTTGGAAATTCTTTTATTTAAGAGTGTTGAATATTGGCCCCCAATCTCTTCTGGCTTGTAGAGTTTTTGCTGAGAGGTCTGCATCTAATGGAATTCCCCTTGTAGGTAATTTGGCCTTTCTCTCTGGTTGCCCTTACCATTTTTTTCTTCATTTTGACCTGGGAGAATCTGATGATCATGTGTCTTGGGGCAGATCCTGTGGAGTATCTTCTTGGGGTTCTCTGGATTTTCTGAATCTGAATGTTGGCCTCTCTTGCTAGATTGGGGAAGTTCTCCTGGATGATATCCTGAAGTGTGTTTTCCAACTTGGTTCCATTCTCCCCATCTCTTTTGAGTACTCCAGTCAGTCTTTTTACATAGTACCATGTTTTTTGGAGTTTTTCTTCATTCATTTTCATTCTTTTTTCTCCAATCTTGTCTGCCTGCCTCATTTCAGCAAGATAGTCTTCAAACTCTGATAGTCTCTCTTCCACTTGATCTATTCGGCTATAGCTATTTGTGTTTGCATCATGAAGTTCTTGTGCTGTGATTTTGGGCTCCATCAGGTCATTATGTTCCTCTCTAAACTGGTTATTCTAGTTAACAGCTCCTGTAATCTTTCATCATGGTTCTTAGCTTCTTTGCATTGGGTTAGAACATAATCCTTTCGCTCAGCAAAGTTTGTTATTACCCACTTTTTGAAGCCTACTTATGCCAGTTCATCCATCTCAGCTTCAGCCCAGTTCTGTGCCCTTGCTGGAGAGGTGCTGCAATCATTTAGAGGAGAAGAGGCATTCTTCTTTGGGAATTTCGGTGTTTCTGCATTGGTTTTTTCTCTCATCTTTGTGGATTTATCTACTGCTGATCTTAGAGGCTGTTGACCTTTGGATGGGGTTTTTGTGGAGTCTCTTTTGATGCTGTTGCTGTTGCTTGTTTTTTTTCTAATACTCAAGCCCCTCTTCTGCAGGTCTGCTGCAGTTTTCTGGGGATCCACTCCAGACTGCCTGGGTATCACCAGTGGAGGCTGCAGAACAGCAGATTGCTGCCTGCTCCTTCCTTTGAAAGCTTTGTCCCAGAGGGGCAGCAACCTGATGCCAGCTGGAACTCTCCTGTATGAATTATCTGCTGACCCCTGTTGGGAGGTCTCACCCATATAAAAAGCACAGTACCGTGAACGTCCTTAAGGAATTAGTCTGGGTGCTCCTTAGTGGAGCTGGTGCACTGTGCTGGGAGAATTCCCCTTGTCCAGAAGGCCCAGGCTCTTCGGAGCCAGCAGGTAGGAAAGATTAAGTCTGCTGAACCTGAGAACACAGCTCCCCCTCCTCCCAGGTGCTCTGTCTCAGGGAGATGAGAGTTCTGTCTGTAAGCCCCTGGCTGCAGTTGCTGGAATTCCTGCAGGGAGGCCCTGCCTGGTGAGGAGGGATGGATCTGGGTCCCACCTAAAGAAGCAGTCTGGCCATGATCTACCACAGCTGCTATGCCGTGCTGTGGGGAACACAGCCCAGTCCAAACTGCCCAGCCTCCCTAACACTGACTAGAGCTGCAGTAATGGTGGTCGCCCCTCCCGACGGGAACTTGGTCCTATCAGGCAGACTCTAGGTTGCTGTGCTGGCCAGCGGGGATCCCAGGTCAGTGTGAATCTTAGCTTGGTGGGGATCCATGGGAGTGGCATCCGCTGAGCGAGGCTGCTTGGCTCTCTGGCTTCAGCCCCCTTTCCACAGGAGTGGACAGATCTCTACCTTTCTGGAGCTCCAAGAGCCACCAGATTATGTAAAAACTCCTGCAGCTCAGTGCCTGCCCTGGTGGTGTAGGATCACAAGCAAATCTCCTGATCCATGAGTTGCAAAAATCTGTGGGAAAAGCGTAGTGCCCCAGGTGGGTAGCACACTCCCTCACCGCCTTTCTTGGCTCACAGAGGGAAGTCCCTTTGCCCAGTGCAGCTCCTGGGTGAACCGCCCCACCCTGCTTTTCCTTGTTCTCCGTGGGTTGCACCAACCACCTAGTAACTCCTGATGAAAGAACCTGGGTACCTCAGTTGGATGTACAGAAATCACTCACCTTTTGCCTTTCTCTCGGTGGGAGCTGCAGACGGGCACTGTTTCTACTCAGCCATCTTGGCCCTTCCTTCTTCCCCTTATTTTGCAAAAAAGCTGATTAATACTTTTCTTAGAGTTCATGTCTTAGTCTGTTTGGGCTGCTATAACAAAATATCATAAACTGGCTGGCTTATAAACAACAGAAATTTATCTCTCACAGTTCAAGAGGCTGGAAAGCACAAGATCAAGGTGTCAAGATATTTAGCATATGGTGAAGGCTTGCTTCCTAGATAGCCATCTTTTTGTTGTGACTTCACATGGCAGAAGGGTGGAACAAGCTCCCTTGGGCTCTTTTATAAGGGCACTAATCCCATTCGTAAGGGCCCTTATGACCTAAGCACCTTCTAAAGGACCTGCCTTCTAATACTACCACCTTTATGGTTAAAATTTTTTTTTTTTTTTTAGGGTTAGAATTTTAACATACGAATTTCGGTGAAGGGTGGAGGGCCACTAAGATTCCTATAATAGTTTATATTATTTTATATTTTATTTTATACTGCTCATAATGTGATAGATAATATAGAATATACTTTTACAAGTTTTATTGTTTTCTTGATTTAAAAACAGCGCAACTTATTTATGTCTTCAAAACTCAACACTTAGCTCCCAAGTTTCTAGGCTAGTCAAGGGTTTTCCCTGAATTCCCACATGTAATTTTTGGATGGGAATTTCTAGAAGGAAAATATTAAGTTTGTTTTTCCTGCACCTTACTTACAAATAGTAATACTCTGCTATGGTTTGAATGTGTCCCCTGAAGTTACTGTGTTAGAAGCTTGATCCCCAATGTGCATGTGCTGGGATGTGTGGCCTCATAAGAGATGATTAGGCTCTGGTCTCACAAATGAATTCTTTGAAAGTGGGTTAGTTATCTTGAGTGTGGCTTTTTCATAAAAAAGTGTATTTGGTCCCCTCTTGCTTTCTTGCGTGTGCTCTCTTGACCTTTATGCCATGGGGTGATGCAGCAAGAATGCCCTCACCTGAAGTTGGCCTCTTGATACTGAACTACCCAGCCTCCAGAGTGGTGAGAAGTAAATTTCTTTGCTCTATAAAGTATCCATTAAGTGGTTTTCTATTGTAGCAACACAAAATGAACTAAGAGAGACTCCGTTCATTTCTAATCTGTGATGGTTGTGGTGATGAACAATCAAACAAACGACTCCGAGAATTAATCAAAACATTTATCCAACCATTCATCTGTTTAACTATTTAACTCAAAACTCTCCCCATGCTGTCTATCAACTGGCTAGTTTTAAATATCATCTGTCAGTATCATCCTTGAGTTAAGATACTAAACTGACATTAAATAATACTGTCAATAGAATTATAAGCAAGAACTGTTATTATTGACAAAGAAAATTCTGATTTTGTAAACATTAACTGCACTATCACTTGTTAATTACCTCTGCGTGTTATGGGCACTATTTCTTTTTCCATCAGAGAGGAAGGAGCCATTTCATGCCATTTGAATGGATTTAATATTTTCCATTATATTCTACTTTATTGACATTGGTAAAAATGTTCATTTGTTCAGACAATATTTGACACTATTACAGGGCTTGAATTGTAAATGCTCAAGTACTTTCTATCTAAAAAATTACCTCAAAGAAAAGGTATTAAAGCCGTGTATTTTACCTTTAAAGCAGTGATTAGCAAACTTTTTCTGTAAAGAGTCATATAGTGAACATTTTAGGTTTTGTGGGCCACACCATCAATGTCACCAATAGTCAAGAAAATGCAAATTAAAAACAAATACTTTTTTTTTCTTTTTGCTCTTCAGATTGGCAAAAATGCTAAAGATTGATAATATCCTGTTGATGAGTTTGTGGAGAAATAATTACTCTCTAAATTACCCCAACCATTTGGAAAGTTACTGTGGTAGCATTTATTAAAAAATTAAATGTATATATTCTAAGGATACACACATAGTCAGGAAATACATTAAGACACATCAGAACTGAGTCTTTAAGTGAGGTGAGTGGGAGCAGGGATGCGGCTGCACAGACCTAGGCTGACTGTGTCATGGACTGAAGAGCATGAGGAGTCTGCCTCTTTGCAGCTAAAGTTAAAAACAAGTGTTGTCACATAGACCCAAAGATAGAGCTTTTGAGAATGCCTCCAACAGAAGTATACCAATAACATAAATGTATAAGGTTGTACCCTCTGGAGAATGAAAAGCTCTGAATACTTCATCAAAAGAAAGGTTGAACAAATTATAATATATCTATCTGTTAATACCATTGAAATAATATGCATCTATTAAAAAGATCTCAATGTTCTGATCTAGAAGGACCCCAAACTATAAGTAAAAAAAATTAAAATGTTATACAGTAAGATCTCATTTTTATAAAAAAGTAAAATAAAATAATACTCTCTCTCTATATATATATATATATATTTTTTTTTTTCACCTTTTTTTTTGACAGTGTCTCACTCTGTCACCCAGGCTGGAGCACAGTGGTACATCCATAGCTCAAAGCTCATTGCAGCCTCAAACTCCTGGGCTCAAGTCATCCTCCCTCCTCAGCTTTTCAAGTAGCCAGAACTACAGGCACACACTACTACACCAGGCTAATCTTAAAACATTTTGTAGAAATCAAGTTGCACTAGGTTGCTCTGGCTGCTCTGAAACTCCTGGCCTCAAGCAAGCCTTCCTCTGTGGCCTACCAACATGCTGGGATTATAGGCATGAGCCACTGCAATCATTTCTAAACAGATCATGGGGAAGCTAAGTGGTTATATCCATCAGTTCTAAAGTGGTTATGCACATCTATTTCACAGACTAAGAGGTGATAATCTAATCATACCATATATTTATAATCAAATATACATAACCATATTCAAAAGAGGTAAGATTCCAACAGACTACATAAAATAATGGATATTAGGGAGTTTAACCCACTTGGAATTTTGGTATCTTATCTTGCATTTGCTATTTAAAGTAATTTTTTTCTCTCCTGTCTACAGGCTAAGGTTTTTTTTTTTTCCTTGTGTTGGTTTAAAAGCTTTAATTCTTTGTTCTTACATTGTTCATCCTTAAGTTCCTGAACTCATGTTTGCTTACTGCTAATGATTTCTTTTTTTTTTTTTGGAGATGGAATTTCACTCTTTTGTTGCCCAGGCTGGAGTGCAATGGTGTAATCTCGGCTCACTACAATCTCTTCCTCCCAGATTCCAGAGATTCTCCTGCCTCAGCCTCCCAAGTAGCTGGGATTACAGGCATGTGCCACCACGCCGGCTAATTTTGTATTTTTAGCAGAGATGGGGTTTCACCATGTTGGTCAGGCTGGTCTTGAACTCCTGACCTCAAGTGATCCACCCACCTCTGCCTCTCAAAGTGCTGGGATTACAGGTGTGAGCCACCGCGTTCAGCCTCTTGCCGCTAATGATTTCTTAAACGTATTCCTATCATCTGACTAATAAGGCCTGTGTTTGCTTATATTTCTTGAATGTCCATCTCTATCCTTATGCCCTGGATGCTGTCCAGAGTTGTGGTTATGAATTTTCATTGTTTTTCTCTTTTTGCATATGTTACTACATACAATACTTCAGTAAGTTATTTGATTGCTTTCAACTCCCATATATTTTACAGCAACATTCTAGATTAATTTCTCTTCCTATAAGAATACTTTCTCCAACAAAGGTGTTTTCAAATGGTCACTGTGTAGTCAAATAGTTGAGACATTTTACGCCAAAGAACATGGTTTTTGTACCTTCACATTTAAATGAAAACATAGCTAGATAAAATTTCTAGGCTCGGTGTGCTTTTTCTCAATACTTTAACAACATTCTTCCCTTTATCTTACTGTATCCATGTTGCTATTGAGAAGTCTGATGTCAATTTGAATCTTGTTCCTTTTAAGGCTGTCTGCTCTCTGACTCTGGAGTCTTTAAAACATTCTTCCCTTTGTTTTTGGTATCTATAAATTCCACGCTAAAAGTCCAGGAGTAGGTTTTCTTCCTGGCTTCTATTTGCCACTCAGGGTCCTTTCAATATGAAATCCTCCTTCTTTATTTTTTCTTATTATTTCTTTAACTATTTCTCCCCCTTCATTTTGCTCCCTTTCCTTTCAAAAACACTTATTCTCTGAATGTTATCCTTTCACATACCTTAGTTTTCTTTTATATTTTCTATCTGTAGTCTTTCCTGCTGCCTTATGAGACCGCAGCTCAAACCCTCTTCTAGTTCCCATTCATTATATAATTTATGTAGTTGAATGTGAGGCAACTTTATAAATTAATTATTTAATTGAGTCTGCCTTCATTAAACAGCATATTTGTAAATAAAAATGAAATGTGCCAATATAATATTAAGTAAACATTATAAAAAGGAAAATGAAGCAGGAAAGTTTAAAAAGTTTAAAATGAAGCAGCATTTGAAGTTAAGTGTTTATATGCAAAAAAGAATTCTTTTTTTGTTGTTCTTAAATTGCATTTATGAGAAGTGTGGTCCCTCTGCATGTTCTTTAAATTATAATTCCTTTTCAATCATTAAAAAACAATAAACGATAAAGAGTTTATACATAACCCTGAAACAAGTTATTACAATAAATTGCAATATACCAGAGTATTTACTCACACTTGTAATAGTTGAAGATTTTTTCCTCTCTGGCCCTACAAGAGGGCTTGCAGTCATCTCGCTTTTTGAGCCAACTGTCGTGCTGCCAAGTTTTCGAGCCACATCTTTGTCCCACTCCTCTTTCTGTTCACTTTCCACGCTGTTAGCCTGAGCTCTTTTGGTATATGATACAGCAGGAGGAATGGATGGACCAGCTATAATTTTTCAAAAAACAGCATAATGAGCTGAAAAACAACTGATCTATTTTCTGCTCACAAACAAAAACTCTGTATTAAAATTATCTACATTTGCATGTTTTAAATTCTGAAGAAAGATTAAACTTTGACTTCAAAAATCAGGTCAGTCCTTGCAACAGGGATTATTTTTATAATTCAGTAATATATGTCTGTGAGAACTAGATGACACAAGCACATAGACATGAATGCACAACGCTTTAAAAACACAGGTTTGGGTAGAACCCGTGTGTTGTTTCACTCTTTTGACTTTTTTCCCCACCATGATCACTGAAACGCCGCTGCTTCTGATTTGCTGAGATGCTTCTCTGGACCTTCAGGTGAGCAGGGGACTGAAGAGTACTGTTGTTTAAGTCACTGCTGGGCCGGGATCTCTGACACAAGTTTCCACCGGATAATGATTCACCACCTTCAAACTGTAAGAAGAAAAACCACAAGGATTTTAAAGCAAAAAAAAAAAAAAAGTTTGTACAAACACTGCACTCTTTATTTTCTAAATGATTTAAAGCTATACAAGAAGTAATCCAAATTTAAAAAGAGTGTAGTGTTGGGCCTAGAACTTCAAGTTGGCAAGCAGGAAAGGAGTGAACTGGATAGAATATGCATTAGTGACTACTCATAATCTTCTGTTATTTTGTACAAACCCTTAGTTTAGTCAGAACACCAATAACAGCACCCAATGATTGAATGGTAATTATGGACTAGGCACTGTACTAAGCTCTTTCTATATGTTACTTTATTTAATCATCACAACAAACCTATGACGTATTAAACTGCACTTTATAGATGGAAAAACTGAGGTTAAGAAAGTTAAGGGGCCAGCTGGGCACGGTGGCTCACACCTATAATCCCAGCAGTTTGGGAGGCCGAAGCGGGTGGATCATGAGGTCAAGAGATCGAGACCATTCTGGTCAACACGGTGAAACCCTGTCTCTACTAAAAATACAAAAATTAGCTGGGCATGGTGGTGCGCGCCTGTAGTCCCAGCTACTCGGGAGGCTGAGGCAGGAGAATTGCTTAAACCCAGAAGGCGGAAGTTGCGGTGAGCCGAGATCGTGCCATTGCACTCCAGCCTGGGTAACAACAGCGAAACTCCGTCTCAAGAAAAAAAAAAAAAAGGAAGTTAAGGGGCATCACTGAGATTTAAACTTACAATAAAATCTAAAATTTTAAATGTATGCACATGTATATATACATATGTATGCATATAAACATAAACATAGATTTGTTTGTTTTGTTTTCTCCACATTTGCCAAAAAAAAAAAAAAAAATTTGGTTTACTGTTTCAGATCAGGAAATTAACTCAGCATGGTAAACTCTGGATTTATACACTATTCCTCTCTCTATAACATAAAAATGGTTTGCAGGCCGGGCGCGGTAGCTCAAGCCTGTAATCCCAGCACTTTGGGAGGCCGAGGCAAGTGGATCACGAGGTCAAGAGATCGAGACCATCCTGGTCAACATGGTGAAACCCCGTCTCTACTAAAAATACAAAAAATTAGCTGGGCATGGTGGCGCGTGCCTGTAATCCCAGCTACTCAGGAGGCTGAGGCAGGAGAATTGCCTGAACCCAGGAGGCGGAGGTTGCGGTGAGCCGAGATCATGCCATGGCACTCCAGCCTGGGTAACAAGAGCGAAACTCCGTCTCAAAACAAAAAACAAAAAACAAAAAAAACTGGTTTGCTGCCAGCAAACCTTTGATGGAATCACTGGCATCCCAATAGGAAATCTAAATTCATATATAGATAACACTAATGATAAATAGCAGAGTAATACTGATGATACTAACAGCCTAATGCAGAGCACATAGAAATCCACGAGAAACTGTTCTGAAGACTTTGTAAGTACTCACTCATTTAACACTTCCAATGATCCTAAAAGATAAGTACTACTACTGTCCTCATTTTATAGATAAGAAAACCGAGGCACAGAAAATTAATTGCCTCAGTTGCATAGTTAGTGGTTGTGCTGGGGTACGGTGGGGGCGGGGTAGCTTAGATCCAGTAACAGCCTGAACTTTGGAACCAGCTCGAGGTAATCAGTTCTCCCTCTATGGGTTCATGCTAGATCTGGTTACTTGAAAGAGCATGGCACCTCCCCCCCTCACCTGCTCCCTCTTGCCATGTGACATGCTGGCTTCCCCTCACCCTCCATCATGTCTGTAAGCTTCCTGAGGCCTTTACCAGAAGCAGATGCCAACACCGTGCAGATGCCAGCATCATGCCTGAAGAACTGTGAGTCAAATAAACTTTTTTCTTTATAAATTATCCAATCTCAATTACTTCTTTATAGCAATGCAGAACTATCTAACATAGTTCACCATTTGTATAGGGTTATTTCTTGAAACTATCTCCTTATGATAGTTCTCCTGGCCTTGAAAATTCCCAGGTGAAAGCATCAGTGACTTGACACTCTATAAGGCAAAATGTCACCAAATAACCTTTCCCAGAGTTACCTCTTTTAAAAATCATTTAAGCCATATATTTTATTTCAAAAGCTATCAGTTCCTCATGTTCCAGTCACTGACTCTTCTGCACACCTGAAATAACCATATTACCTTTGGTGGGGCTGTTGTATTTGGATGCACAAGCTGTGGGGGAGGCCAGTCCCGAAGACCAGGTTGTGAATGGTGCCTCTTGGAGCTAAGAAAGACAGCAGGCCTGTTCTTTCATAAAATCTCTTGGGTACCCAGAAATAAAATCACTTCATAATTTAGCATCTTGATTTTTGAATTCCAGTAAATAAGAATGTTAGGATAGGACCTTTATATTATTTTTGATACCACAAAGAATATATTTACTAATATATTAGCTCTAGAAATAATTCACAGTAATCTGAAAAGGTGAAAAACTTACTTCAGGTGGTTTTCTACCTAGAAGAATATAAGTTGCCATAACTTCATCATACTTCTGATTTATTAAGGCATCGTTTATTTCATCTCGTGCAAAGCCCATAGTGACCATAATATCTAGAAATTTTAAAAAGAGAGATGTTCTGAAAATGGGTTTAGTTTAGTAAACAAATCAACAAAAACAGGCAAGTTTGCCAATTTTGAATATGAAAACTAAGTCATGAAAATTTAAAGAGTAGTTTTAAAAACTTCTGGACTATGAGCCTAAGATACCATATGTTCACAGATATTGTATAATGATAATTTTACATGCAGAAATTATCTACATCATGGGTAATATATTAATGGGCCCACTTAATGTCTTCTTGCCTAACACATTCCCGAGCTTTCTTTGTCCAGTCTGAGACCACGTTAGTCTCTGTTACACAAAATTCTCTTTCTCTGAACTCATCCTTAGCTACTTGTGAAGTGGTTTCTCTCACTTCTTAACAATTTCTGTTTTCTGATTTACAGTAGGTTGACTCTTCTTTGGGAGATGTGAATTTCCATGGTTTTTCTGACAGGTTCCTAATACCCTAAAATGCTCTCCCCTGCCACACTGCCCTCAAGCCAGATAGAAACATAGTTAAGATGACTCAGCTTGAGACTGAGTAATGGCTTTGGGAAGGGATTGAGAAATGAAGAGAACAAGTTAGAAGAAGCGCTCTGGCTAGGTATGGGCAGTAGCAGGACAAGTGAGGAGGGAGAATAAACGTTGCTAAGACAGGGGAAAAAGAAAGGGAGAGCCAAAGTGTTCAACTCTCAATTCAGTGCCTCTACATTTTTGGTTAAAATAAATGCTATATTTGCTGATACTTATCAGTCTGATCCGTGCTGATAGTTACATCAGCCATTCCTCCTGCTGGGCATCACTGAAAGGAAAGTATTCAGTTTATTTATGTTAAGTTTTATATCCCTGTTGTCAAACATTGAATTGGACCATAATATATATCAGAACAAATTAGGGAACTTGAAATGTAGAATTTTTAGTGTAGTATCATTAAAATGGTAATGCAAGTACTTTTCAAGTAAAAATTGCTTTCTATTTACACTTTTAAACACTATTTTGTGCACTAAAGGACTCCTACTTGTTGACTAGGGACAACACTTCTCACCACGTTTAAACACTTACCGATTCTTTTTATGTCATTGAAATCTGGATCAGGCTCAGTATATGGCTTTAGTTCTTCTTCTTCATGACCAACATTCATCCATCGATCTTTCATTATTTGCTAGGAAATAAACTCTACATTATGTGTGGTCAATCAGAACATTCAGGAACTTATTTTAGCTCTGTTTCAGCAAAGGTGAAATTACTAGTTCACCCAACAAGTTTCATGTGACATTTCCAGTTTGATTAGTGGGCCAAAAAGAGGTATAAGACTTTGAGACACACATGACAATTGTGACTATCTTCCTACACACTCACCAAATGTATTTATTCAAAGTAGCATGCCTCCCTTATTCCTTCAAAGGGAGTATTTTCAAATTTAGATATTTTGAAGTAAGAACTTCTTATAAAGCAGATTTTAACTTCTGCTTTAGATTTTACATTTAACATTAATACAGAGATTATAATTTTTTCCTGGCTTTTGCCAACCATATGCCTTATTTTAAAATCTCCACTTATTAAAATATTAGCAAAGAAGAGGTCATAGGGAATGAAAATCAGGGTTAACGGTAAAGTTATCATAGCTAACATGATGTGGGAAGGGAGGGTAGTCAAAATTTAAGTCTAGAGTTAGGAATTAGGTGAGAATCAAGCAGGGGTTGATGTGAATTACCAGAGTCAGATTCAAGCTAAGGCTGTAAAATAACAGTCCTGGGCTTTTCAAAGGCAATCTTGTGGAGGCAAGCTAGAAAATGGGAAAAGTATTTGCAAAACATTTACTGGATAAGGAGTAAATATTCAGAGTATGTAAAGAATGCCTGCAACTCATAATATAAAAACAAATAACCTGAATAAAAAATGGGCAAAGTAATATTTCTAGCAAAAAAGATACCGAAGTGGCCAACAGGCATGCTTGTTGTGTGAAAAGATGCTCAACATCAATAATCAGGGAACTCAAAACCATAGTGAGGTATCACCTTATATTCATTAGGATGGCCACATCAAAAAAACAGAAAACAAGTATCGATGAGCATGTGGAGAAATTAAAACCCTTGTTAACTGCTGGCAGGAATGTAAAATGGTATAGCCACTATAGAAAACAGTACAGAGGTTGCTCAAAAAATTAAAAATAGAGCTACCATATGATCCAGTAATCCCACTTCTGGGTATTTATCCAAAAAAGCTGATAACAGAGTATCAAAGAGATATTCAGAAACTTCTATTCACTGCAGCATTAGTCACAATAGCCTAGATGTGGAAGCAACCTAAATGTCCATTGACAGATGAATTGATAAAGAAAATGTGATACATAAATACCAAAAAAATATTATTCAGCCTTAAAAAAAATCTTGCCATATGTTACAACATAGATGAAACTTGAGGACATTATGCTAGGTAAAATAAGCCAATCACAAAAAGACAAATACTGCATGATTCACTTATATGGATTATCTAAAGTAGTTAAACTCATAGAAATATAAACTATAATAGAATGTACTGCTGGGGCTGAGGAGCGGGAAATGGGGAAACTGAATGAGTACAGAGTTTTAGTCACACAAAATGAAAAAGTTCTGGAGATTTCTTGTACAACAATGTACACATAGTTAACGACACTGTAATACACACTTAAAAGACGTTAAAAGAGTAAACATGTTATGTTTTTACCACCATCACCACCACCGAAAAGAAAAGGCAATCTAGTAGATTATTTACTAAACTCATGGTAAATGGGGAACTGGAAGAAACCTATTTGAATAATTTTGTATTAATTTAGAAAGACTGTTTGCTTTTCATTACTACAGAATTTTAGGTTTTCATCCCAGTTGCTGATATATTAATTGCCTTTTTCCAGGTCCTGTATAGTACATTCTCCATCTCTAAATTTTATGTGCCAATGTTCTACTAATTAGAAAAATAACTACATATATATATATGTATATCTCTTTTGAAGGCTAATTCCTTGACTGCCAAAGTACCTTCCACTCATTTATTAACATTTACCTAAAGCTCATGACTAGAAAAAATAAATCCAGGGCAGATTTCTAACAACTGGAATCTCTTAGAATAGTGCTGTGCTGGATTGGAGGATTTTCCAGAGGTCATTGTCACATATTTTTTTTTTTTTTTTTTTTTTAAGGAGAGGGTCTCACTATGTTGCCCAGGCTGGTCTTGAACTCTTGGGATCAAACAATCTGCTTGCCTCAGTTTCCCCAAGTGCTGGGATTACAGGCATAAGCCACCATGCCTGGCCACATGATACATTTTTAAATTAAACTTTCTAGAGAATTAATGTATTTTAAAAATACAATCATGCAGACATGTAACTCTTTTTTTCTTTGCCATATGGGCTTTATATTTTTAATATTATTGGAGTATGACATATTTACAGGCAATTGCACAAATGCATATGAACTTTCATGAAATGAACATACATGCAGCCACCCCCCAGAACCAGAAAACACTGCCACCACCCTTTATCCCCGAAACCTCCTCATGCCCCAACTACCTCCCTTCATCCTGCTTTTCAACACCATACATTAATGTTTCTTAGTCTTGAAGTTCATGTAATGGAGTCAGGCACAAAAATATGTACTCTTTTGTGCCTGCTTTTTCTTTCTCTTTCTTTCCTTCTTTTTTTCTTCCTTTTTCTTTTCTTTCTTTCTCTTTCTTTTTTCTTATTATACTTAAAGTTCTGGGGTACTTGTACAGATCGTGCAGGATTGTTACATAGGTATACACATGCCATGGTGGTTCGCTGCATCTATCCCCCCATCATCTACATTAGGCATTTCTCCTAATGTTATCCCTCCCCAATCCCCCCCTGCTATCCCTCACCTAGCCCCCCAACCCTCTAAAAGACCCTGGTGTGTGATGTTCCCCTCCCTGTGTCCATGTGTTCTCATTGTTCAAAACCCACTTATAAGAATATGCAGTGCAGACATGTAACCTTTTTTTTTTTTTAGTATATGTGCTGCTGAAGTGAGCATGCAGACATGTAACTCTTAAAAGACTACCACTAACTTGATTTATCACCACATTGGGCTATGGAAATTTAAGTGCCTTATCCAACTACTGTTTTAAATTCTTATTATTTTTTAATTATACTTTAAGGTCTGGGATACATGTGCAGAATATGCAGGTTACATAGGCATACACGTGCCATGGTGGTTTCCAGCTTCATCCATGTCCCTGCAAAGGACAAAAACTCATCCATTTTTAGGGCTGCATAGTATTCCATGTGTATATGTGCCACATTTTCTTCATCCAGTCTATCACTGATGGGCATTTGGGTTGGTTCCAAGTCTTTGCTATTGTGAACAGTGCCACAATAAACATATATGTGCATGTGTCTTTATAGTAGAATGATTTATAATCCTTTGAGTACATACCCAGTAACGGGATTACTGGGTCAAATGGTATTTCTGGTTCTAGATCCTTGAGAAATCGCCACATTGTCTTCCATAATGGTTGAACTAATTTACACTCCCATCAACAGCGTAAAAGCATTCCTATTTCTTCACATCCTCTCCAGTATCTGTTGTTTCCTGACTTTTTAATGATCTCCATTCTAACTGTCATTAGATGGTATCTCATTGCGGTTTTGATTTGCATTTCTCTAATGGCCAGTGATGATGAGCTTTATATATATATGTAGATATATATAATTATATGTTTGTTGGCTGCATATATGTCTTCTATTGAGAAGTGTCTGTTCATATCTTTCAACCACTTTTTGATGGGGTTGTTTTTTCTTGTAAATTTGTTTAAGTTACTTGCTGATTCTAGATACTAGCCCTTTGTCAGGCGGATAGATTGCAAAAATCTTCTCCCGTTCTGTGGGGTGCTTGTTCACTCTGATGATAGTTTCTTTTGATGTGCAGAAGCTCTTTGGTTTAATTAGATCCCATTTGTCTATTTTGGCTTTCATTGCCTTTGCTTTTGGTGTTTTAATAATGAAGTCTTTGCCTATGCCTATGTTTTGAATGGTACTGCCTAGGTTTTCTTCTAGGGTTTTTATGGTTTTAGGTCTTACATTTAAGGCTTTAATCCATCTTAGTTTTTGTATAAGGTGTAGGAAGGAGTCCAGTTTCAGTTTTCTGAATATGGCTAGCCACTTTTCCCAACACCATTTATTAATAGGGAATCCTTTCCCCATTGCTTGTTTATGTCAGGTTTTTGTTTTTGTCAAAGATCAGATGGTTGTAGATGTGTGGCGTTACTTTTGAGGCCTCTGTTCTGTTCCATTGGTCTAATATCTGTTTTGGTATCAGTACCATACTGTTTTGGTTACCGCAGCAGTGTAGCATCAGGTAGTGTGATGCCTCCAGGTTTGTTCTTTCTGCTTTGGATTGTCTGTGCTATACGGGCTCTTTTTTGGTTCCATACAAAATTTAAAGTAGTTTTTTTCTAATTCTGGGAAGAAAGTCAATGGTAGCTTGATGGGGATAGCATTGAATCTATAAACTACTTTGGGCAGTATGGCCATTTTCACAATATTGATTCTTCCTATCCATGAGCATGAAATGCTTTTCCATTTGTTTGTGTCCTCTCTTATTTCCTTGAGCAATGGTTTGTGGTTCTCCTTGAAGAGGTCCTTCACATCCCTTGTTAGTTGTATTCCTAGGTATTTTATTCTTTGTAGCACTCGTGAATGGGAGCTCACTCATGATTTGTCTCTCTGTTTATCTCTTATTGGTACATATGAATGCTTGTGATTTTTGCACATTGATTTTGTATCCTGAGACTTTGCCGAAGTTGCTTATCATCTTATGGAGATTTTGGGCTGAGATGATGGGGTCTTCTAAATATACAATCACGTCATCTGCAAACAGAAGGAATTTGACTTCCTCTCTTCCTATTTGAATACTCTTTATTTTTTCTCTTGCCTGATTGCCCTGGCCGGAACTTCCAATACTATGTTGAATAGGAGTGGTGAGAGAGACATCCTTGTCTTGTGCTGGTTTTCAAAAGGAATGCTTCTAGCTTTTGCCCATTCAGTATAATATTGGCTCTGAGTTTGCCATAAATAGTTCTTATTATTTTGAGATATGTTCCATCAATACCTAGTTTATTGAAAGTTTTTTTTTTTTTTAGCATGAAGGGGTGCTTAATTTTATATCAAAGTCCTTTTCTACATCTATTGAGATAATCATGTGGTTTTTGTCATTGGTTCTGTTTATGTGATGTATTACGTTTATAGGTTTACATATGATGAATCAGTCTTGCATCATCCCAGGGATGAAGCAGATTTGATTGTTGTGGATAAGCTTTTAGATGTGCTGCTGGATTTGAGTTGCCAGTATTTTATTGAGGATTTTCACATCAATGTTCACCAGGGACACTGGCCTGAAGTTTTCTTTTTAGGTTGTGTTTCTGCCAAGTTTTAGTATCAGGATGATACTGGCCTCATAAAATGAGTTAGGAAGGAGTCTCTCTTTTGCTAATGCTTGAAAAAGTTTCAGAAGGAATGGTACCAACTCCTCTTTGGAGCTCTAGTAGAATTTGGCTGTGAATCCATCTGGTCCTAGGCTTTTTTCGGTTGGAAGGCTATTAATTCCTGCATCAATTTCAGAACTTGTTATTGGTCTATTCAGGGATTTGACTTCTTTCTGGTTTAGTCTTGGGACTGTGTATGTGTACAGAAATGTATCCATTTCTTCTAGATTTTCTAGTTTATTTCCATAGAGGTGTTTATGGTACTCTCTGATAGTTGTTTCTATTTCCGTGGGATCAGTGGGGATAGCCCCTCTACCATTTTTTATTGCATCTATTTGATTCTTCTCTCTTGTCTTCTTTATTAGTCTGGCTAGTGGTCTGTTTTGTTAATCTTTTCCAAAAAACCAGCTCCTGGATTCATTAATTTTTTGAAGGGTTTACCTCCTTCAGTTCTGCTCTGATCTTAGTTATTTCTTGTCTTCTGCTAGCTTTTAATTTACTTACCCTTGCTTCTCTAGTTCTTGTATTTGTGATGTTAGGGTGTTGATTTTAGATCTTTCCCGCTTTCTCCTATGGGCATTTAGTGCTATAAACTTCCTCTAAACACTGCTTTAGCTGTATTCCGGAGATCCTGGTATGTTGTGTCTTTGTTCTCATTGATTTCAAAGAACTTATTTATTTCTGCCTTCATTTCATTATTTACCCAATAGTCATTCAGGAGCAGGTTGTTCAGTTTCCATGTAGCTGTGTGGTTTTGAGTGAGTTTCTTAATTCTGAGTTCTAATGTGACTGCACTGTGGTCTCAGAGACTGTTTGTTATGATTTCCATTCTTTTGCATTTGCTAAGGAGTGTTTTACTTTCAATTATGTGGCCAATTTTAGAATAAGTGTGATGTGGTGCTGAAAAGAATGTATATTCTGTTGATTTGGGGTGAAGAGTTCTGTAGATGTCTATTAGGTCCGCCTGGTCCAGAGCTGAGTTCAAGTACCGAATATCCTTGTTAGTTTTCTGTCTCATTGATCTAATAGTGACAGTGAGGTGTTAAAAGTCTCCCGCCACTACTGTGTGGGAGTCTAAGTTCTTTGTAGGTCTCTAAGAACTTGCTGTATGAATCTGGGTGCTCCTGTATTGAGTGCGAATGTATTTACGATCGTTAGCTCTTCTTGCTGTATTGATCCCTTTACCATTATGTGATGCCTTTGTCTTTTTTGATCTTTGTTGGTTTAAAGTCTGTTTTATCAGAGACGAGGACTGCAAACCCTGCTTTTTTTTCCTTTCCATTTCCTTGGAAAACATTCCTCTTTCCCTTTATTTTGAGACTATGTGTGCCTTTGCACATGAGATGAGTCTCCTGAATAGGTACACACCAATTGCATAGATACACACCAATAGGTCTTGACTTTTTATCCAATTTGCCAGTCGGTGTCTTTTAATTGGGGCATTTAGCCCATTTACATTTAAGGTTAATATTATTATGTGTGAATCTGAATCTGTCATTATTATGCTAGCTGTTTATTATGCCCATTAGTTGATGCAGTTTCTTCATTGTGTCAATCAATGGTCTTTACAATTTGTTATGTTTTTTAGTGGCTGGTACTGGTTTTTCCTTTCCATAACTAGTGCCTCCTTCAGGAGCTCTTGTAAGGCAGGCCTGGTGGTGATAAAATCTCTCAGCATTTGCTTGTCTGTAAAGGATTTTATTTCCCCTTCGCTTATGAAGCTTAGCTTGGCTTGAATTGAAACTCTTTCTTTAAGAATGTTTAATATTGGCCCCCACTCTCTTCTGGCTTGTAGGGTTTCTGCAGAGAGATCCTCTGTTAGTCTGATGGGTTCCCTTTGTGAGTAACCTGATCTTTCCCTGTGAATGCCTTTAACATTTTTTCCTTTGTTTCACCTGGGTGTGACAATTATGTGTCTTGGGGTTGCTCTTCTCAAGGAGTTTTTTTTTAAATTTTATTTTGTGGTTACCTCTTCAAGTTAAATCGAGGAGTATTTTTGTGGTATTCTCTGTATTTCCTGAATTTGAATTCTGGTCTGTCTTGCTAGGTTGTGGAAGTTCTCCTGTTATCCAACTAATTTAAATGAAACTAGACCTACTACAAATGATAATTCTACCATATGTTTTCAGTGATTATTTGTCAGTAAAGGAAAAGCGTTGGGGTGGGTGAACATCAGGAGGGAAAACAAATTAGCAAAGCAGAGAAGCAAAAGATGCCACACAATTCCTCCAAATATTAAGGCCTTTCCTGTTCCTTACCTCTCCCCTCTCAAACAGTATGTCTGACAGAAGCCTGAGCAAGAATCAGGCACCAGCATCTGTAGAAATAAAATTCTGTTGTTGGCAGAATTTCCTAGGTTGGAAGGTGAAAACACCCTCAGAGAACATAATGAACTACTTAAGGACAGTTAACACAGTACATACAATCCTTCCCGCACCGATCAAGTGCCAATCCAGGCAGTCTATTCCTTGACATCTTTACTGATTCAATTCTATAGCTGCACAAGCAGAGGAAATAAGGAAGGCATATGGAAGCAGTAGCTCAGCTGATGCTTAAAAGTCTTTAAGTATATATAAAGTATATTCATAGCAAATCCTACCCTTCCACACACATATCAATACAAACAAATGAATCTAATTATCCTTTTATTAACACATTACTCTTTTTTTTTTAAATTGCATTTTAGGTTCTGGGGTGCATATGAAGAACGTGCAAGATTGTTGCATAGGTACACACATGGCAGTGTGATTTGCTGCCTTCCTCCCCATCACCTATATCTGGCATTTCTCCCCATGCTCTCTCTCCCCAACTCCCCACCCCCCGCTGTCCCTCCCCTATTTCTCCCCGACTGACCACAGTGTGTGATGTTCCCCTATCTGTGTCCATGTGTTCTCATTGTTCAACACCCACCTATGAGTGAGAACATGCGAACACATTACTCTTTATTGGGAGCTCTTTGGATGTTTGTTGTTATAATAATGAATGAGAATGGACAAAGAAGACAAATAACAAACATGAACTAGACAGAAATACTTCAAGTTCCCCAAGTCCTTGTTGATGTTCTCAAATTTAAGATTACAAGTTGAAAATAATAACAAGTGGAGTAAGATTAATAAATAGTAGAATACTAAGTAAGTAAAAAGTTAGATTCAGGTAGGATAAATATGGGTCAATCATGCAAAAAGGAAGTGGAAGGAAGGCAAAGAACCAGGAGAGAAAACGCAGGTGTAAAGAGGACCTCAGGCAAAACCAGCATGTAATGGTTATTTTTCACGGTATGATTTTCAAAAGTCTCTCTGGCTCGTATGGAGGGAGTGGGTTAGAGAGGTTCAAGACTAGAAGCACAGAAATCAACTAAGAGGCTTTAGCTAAAACCTAGAAGAGAGATGATAACACCCCAATTTTAAGGTAGACAGTGGCAATATGGAAACAAAAGACGTGTCCAACATTTTGCTGGTAAAATGAGCAAAACTTCATGATTTATACAGTTTTATGGAACTTTTTAATCACAATTCATGATTACAAAGGATGGCTATCCATATATCTATCTACATTACTGGACATAGGGGTAGAGAGAAAAAGAAGAAGAAATGGAAGATAATGCCCAGATTTCTCATTCAGACAACTGAATAGAGAGGCTGGTATCATTCACTGAGAAACCAAACTCAGAGAGGGAAGAATGGATCGAGAAAAATGGAGCTCAGTTTTAGACAAGTTGAGTTTGAGGTACTATGGGATATCTCAATAGACATGTTCTATAATTACTCTGTTACTTTATTCTGAGGCTCAAGAAAAATCTGGGCTAGGGATTGAGACTTAGGAATCCTTAGCCTACAGATGATGCTGTACAGAAGCTGTGGGGGTGGATGGGATTCTCCAGGAAGAATGAATAGCATAAGAATGAATGGAAGAGGGCTGAGAGTACAGCCTCAAGGAACACCAGCGTTTAAAGGTTAGAAAGAAAAGAAATGCAAAAAGGAAAACCTGCACAGCATGACATGGAAGGCAAGGAAAGAGTTCTTCGAAGAGGGGAAAGTGTTGTACTGTCAAATATGGCCAAATGGTCAAATAAAGTGATAGCTAAAAAAATAAGCCCTTCTGTTTAGCAACAGAGATGGGGGACTCTGCTGGGGAAAGTTTCAGTGGAGTGGTGACATCAGGAACCAAAAGGTAAATGGATTGGTGAGGAACAGGTGATGGTTTAAGTGTACATACTGTTCAAAAAAACTCACTACAAAGGAGGAGCAAGACAGCAGTACTGAAAAGGGATTGCCAGCTTGAAGGGATGCCTTTTTTAATGGAAGACATTCAAGTATGTATAAAAGCTGAAGAAAAGGAGTGGATAGAGACACGGTCTTGATGGTTACAGAAGAGAGAACCTTACTGAAGGGGTGAGGTACTGAGAAGGAAGGCAGATAAACAGATGAGTGAGTGAAGTCTTGAACAAGAGAAAACACATCTTTCCACTGTGACAGGCAGTGGTGAGAGGGGGTCTAAACAGTTAACTTTTTATAAAAATGTACCATTTTATTACAAAGAGTCTCAAAAATGAAAACAGTATCTCGAAAAGGAAACTAGACCACCAACCACTGCATGAAGAATTAGGGGAAGAAAAAGGGCAGGCGTTAGTTTTTGGCTCACCTGAGGCCACTGGGAAGGTATGAAAACAGCCAATCTAAAAATGGCTGATATTATGTTAGAAGCCTGAAAAGAACAGGAGATCCTTGAAGACCTGGCCACCTTTTATAGAATGCTCAGTAAGGGCACCTTTCCAAAGCTACTAAACAGATATTTGGCATTTCAGGATTTTGTCTTATGGTTGCATAAAAGTATCCCTTTCACCAAGACCTGGCACTCTTTATGGTTCAAAGTTAAGAACTGGGGAAGGATGGAAGGATGGGTGGCAAGGCAGCTCCTAGAAGAGTTTGCCCAGCACAGCTGCCCGGGGCTCAGGGCCTTGGTTTCTGTCTAGTCCCTGGGGATATTTACATTTAATAAATTTTCCTATAGATACACAGAGAAATAGAAAATATAAAATCTGAGATGCTGGGGGAGAAAGGTAGGGAACTCGGCAAGAAGCCAGAGCTGGACCTGCTTCTTGACCCTTGTGGCTTCTGGCTTCTCCTCTTTGATTCTCTCCTCTTCTGTGACTTTGGTCTTCTTATCTGGGTCTTTCTCTTTTTCATCCTCTTTTGACTCTCTTGGCTTTTTTTTGAAGTTGAAAGAGTTCTTGTGGCCACCCTCTCCCACCTCATCAGTCGGAGAACTCTTCCTCACAGGCAATTCATTTGTCAGAGAAACAGACTGAGATGTGCTTGTCAGGGTCTTCTTCACTCTCATCGCCTCTCTCTTAAGGGACAGCATCCTCTGGGATCACGTGCATGTGGAGACAGGTGTGTGGGGCGGCATTCTCAGGTTCTCAAACAGTCACTATTTATCTTCTCCAGGTACTCATTCATGTCCTGGCTAGTCATACTGGAAGGGCTGATGTAGAGCTTGAAATCTGGTCCGAAGTATTCCAAGTAGTTACTGTATGGAAGCTCATTAGGGATCTCTGTATCCAGGGCCACAGCTGTCTCCTATGTCCAGCACTCTGCAACATTACAAATGATGTAACCACCTCCTCCCAGCATTGGCATAGGCAAGTTAAAGCTCCTGACAAATTCCACATACTTGATATGCCCCCCTCCTTTTTTATTTGGGAGATGGAGTCTCACTCAGTTGCCCAGGCTGAAGGGTCGTGGCGTGATCTCAGCTCACTGCAACCTCTGCCTCTTGGGGACAAGCATGACTCAACCTCCCGACTAGCTGATATTACAGGAGCGCACCACCATGCGCCAAAAAAAAATACATAATTTTTGTATTTTTAGTAGACACGGGGTTTCACCATGTTGGCCGGGCTGGTCTCAAATTCCTGACCTCAAGTAATCCTCCCGTCTCAGCCTCCCAAAGTGCTGGGAGCAGATGTGAGCCACTGTGACAGGCCAGCATGCACTTTGATGGTCAGGTTGAAGCACCCTAACCAATCCCCAGATAAGGAGTCTGAGCCACACTATAAGAATATTGCAGTAGGCTGGAACATCTCCATTACTCTGAACATAACCAGCCTGAAAGTGACCTCATAGAACTCGTCGTCAATCCCATCTCGGAACAGGTATTTATCAGCATAATACTTGCCTTTGCCAGCCCCAATATCCTGCAGTTCCCTAGTTCCTGAAAAGTTCTCTCCATAGTTAGGGAAATACATAGTCATGACCCAGTCTGTGATATAGAAGGCCTCTTCCATGCCATCGCCGTGTGAATATCAATGTCAATATACAGCACCCTCTGGTGATACTTCAGCAGCTCCAGGATGGCCAAGACAATGTCACTGGTACAACGAAGCCAGATACCTCGGACTTCTTTGCACGGTGCAAGCCCCCAGCCCAATTCACAGTGATGTTCATCTGCTGCTTCTTAAGTTTCACAGCCCTTGCCACAGAGTCATCAGTAGACAACTGTCGGAATTCAAACAAACCATTGAATACCGGACAGTTCTCACCGACGTTGACTCTGCGTCTGCTTGCTGTGCTCGAACATGTAATCTGGAGTGATAGAACACAAGAATTTACTGTAGTCATCACTGTGTTACTTGATCATCTCTCCTCAGCACTGGCTTTGTGAGGGTGACAGATTTCTATTTTTCAGTAGAGACCATAGTTGGGCAGCAAATTGCGATCATTGGATGGCCTTGTCTATAATAGTAACTTCCAATATTCCTGTCATAGTAGTAACAGACTTTCCTCGTGGTACCCTGTGTCTGCCTCATCTTTCTTGCCCCCCGTCCCTCCTGTCAGTTGGTCTCAACAGTAATGTTTAAGGTATGGGAATGGGAAGTGAAGGGTACTCATGACTTTTGGTATCTATTTTCCCAGTGAAATAAAAGACAAGGATATTTGCCTAGAATGTTTGCCCCTATCTTCCCACCTAAATTCCTTTTTATTTCAAAATGACCACATGAAGTCTGGGTCCTTTCTGTCACGCTCTTTCACGGCACCCTAATCTTTGCCTACAATTGGATGTAGCTTGTCATTATGTAATATTTTGGTTTACCCGTTAATCATGTATCTCTACCACAAGACCATAAACCCAATGAAAGAATGACCCATGTTTGGTTTGTTCAATATTGCATATCCAGCATGTAAAAGTACTCAGCCCTAAATGGTCAATACATATTTGTAAATTGAATGAATAAAACCTTGTCTTAATCACTTATCTGTCCTCCTGCATTCCCATGGATCTCTCCTTATAGCCTAGTGTTACTGTTATTAAACTCTACCTTTAATTACAGCAGGTGTGTATAGGATTATCTCCTTCACGTTATTTAAAGTCCTTGAGGACAAAACAGATGCCTGCTGTTTTTTGAATAAGGCAGTGTTTTAAAACAATGTTGCTACAGGATCCCTGGGTAAGAAACAATCCAGAGATTAGCAACAAGAAGACACCTTATGAAGCTGTTATAATGTCCAGGAAAGAGAACAGAGGACCGAACTAGACATGAGGAAATGGAAGAAAGAAACCAGAAGTATAATCTGTTGCACTTGATGATAAGATTCATTTTGGTTCTGAGGGAATGGATGGAATGCAAGAGGGTTCTGAGAATTTTAAATCAGGTACTGAAAGAACAGGGTTTCTGTAAATTAAGCAAGAAATGTAGGAGCAATAGCAGATTTGATTTGATTTGGGAAATAAGCAATTAGAAGGAAAATGAAGGTGCTCACTTGATATCCACAAGTTCATGTCAGAAAAAATATATGCATGATCAAACCCTTAAGTGATTTTTTTTTTAATCTGGGGAAAATATATTTACTTATGAAATCCAAAAACATTTTTTTTTTTTGAGATGGCGTTTCACTCTTGTCGCCCAGGCTGGAGTACAATGGCACAATCTTGGCTCACCGCAACCTCTGCTTCCTGGGTTCAAGTGATTCTCCTACCTCAGCCTCCCAAGTAGCTGGAATTACAGACATGTGCCACCATGCCCAGATAATTTTGTATTTTTTGTAGAGATGAGGTTTCTCGATGTTGGTCAGGCTGCTCTTGAACTCCTGACTTCAGGTGATCCACCCACCTTGGCCTCCCAAGTGCTGGGATTTACAGGCATGAGCCATTGAACCTTGCCAATTTTTTTTTTTTTTTGAGATGGAGCACAGTGGTGCAATCTCAGCTTACTGCAAACTCCACTTCCTGGGTCTCAAACTCCTGATATCAGGTGATCTACCCACCTGGGCCTCCCAAAGCGCTGAGATTATAGGCATCAGCCAAAACTATCTGAATACACAGTAGAGTTAACTATTTAAAGTTGTGCTATTAGCAGTGAGTATTAATAAAGACCAAAAGAACAACTCAAAGTGTGGACTGGGATTTTCAGGAAAAGAATCATAAGCAGGCAGGATGCAAACTGATTTGAAATATAAGCAGAATTTGGAATGGTGGAAAGTCATGGCAGAAGGATGTGAGGAACAATAAGGAGGCACCCTTCTTTTACTAAGCATACCGATCATACATAATGAAAGAATGAATGAAAGCTTAGTATCTTCAGACGATGTATTTAAATTTGATCTAAGAGGCAATCCTGGTCAACATGGTGAAACCCCGTCTCTACTAAAAATACAAAAAATTAGCTGGGCACGGTGGCGTGTGCCTGTAATCCCAGCTACTCGGGAGGCTGAGGCAGGAGAATTGCCTGAACCCAGGAGGCGGAGGTTGCGGTGAGCCGAGATCTCGCCATTGCACTCCAGCCTGGGTAACAAAAACGAAACACCATCTCAAAAAAAAAAAAAAGAGGCAATGGAGAAATGCAACATTTTATACAACATTCTATAACTAGCACAGGAAAAAAACAACAGGTGGACACAGAAGGACTGACTCTGCTAATCCTCACACAAAACTAGATTTGAGGCTAGGCTGAGTCAGGAAAAGTAGAAAGTGCAGTGATAAGGAAAGAGAACTGGGCAGCAATGAGAGAATCAACGGTTCTGTTTCCCTTCATTATATTCTAGTCACTGGGAATCACCAAGAGTCTACTTAGCAGTTTGTCTCACAATACCAGTTGTATTTCAAAGCAGAATAAAAGTAATCTTCTCAGTATGGAAGATCTCCTTAAGAAAGGGAAGATGTCGGAGTTTAACTGTGTTAATTCAAAATCTGAGGGTCTTTTTCCAAAAATAAAGCACAGAAAGCGACAAAGTATGGATACAAGAAAGGGAAGAGAGATATGTACTACCTGCCCTGAGTTGTGTGAACCTCATGACTATGTAAAATTCTTTAATGGTAACCAAAAGAGTTAACATTAAACGTTGAGGCAGAAATGTTCCCAGAAAATGGAGGTACTGCGTGACTGGAGAGAGCTCATGTAACCCTAGCCTGGGTGGTTTCAGGCATGATATAAAGAACTAGGCCAAGGCCGGGCGCGGTGGCTCAAGCCTGTAATCCCAGCACTTTGGGAGGCCGAGGTGGGTGGATCACGAGGTCAAGAGACCGAGACCATTCTGGTCAACATGGTGAAACCCCGTCTCTACTAAAAATACAAAACATTAGCTGGGCACGGTGGCGCGTGCCTGTAATCCCAGCTACTCAGGAGGCTGAGGCAGGAGAATTGCCTGAACCCAGGAGGCAGAGGTTGCGGTGAGCCGAGATCGTGCCATTGCACTCCAGCCTGGGTGAAAAGAGCGAAACTCCCTCTCAAAAAAAAAAAAAAAAAAAGAACTAGGCCAAGGCCAACAAACTACACTAGACATAGAAGCTAGTTGAATAAACTCATCCACTTCCGATTTCATTTCTGATATCTCATGAGAAACTAGAAGACAAAAAAAATTCCAAAATTAACAAAAGAAAGTTTACTCTAGCCATCAGTGCCAATGAGCATAAATGACTGCCTGCTGACTATAAAAAAGTTATAGCCAGGCACGGTGGCTCAAGTCTGTAATCCCAGCACTTTGGGAGGCTGAGACGGGTGGATCACGAGGTCGAGAGATGGAGACCATCCTGGTCAACATTGTGAAACCCCGTCTCTACTAAAAATACAAAAAATTAGCTGGGCATGTTGGCACGTGCCTGTAATCCCAGCTCCTCGGGAGGCTGAGGCAGGAGAATTGCCTGAACCCAGGAGGCGGAGGTTGCGGTGAGCCGAGATCACGCCACTGCACTCCAGCCTGGGTAACAAGTGCGAAACTCCGTCTCAAAAAAATAAATAAATAAATAAATAATAAAAGAGTTATATTAACAAAATAATTGATTCAGATGAATTAAAGAATTAAATTAGCTATGGGAAATACATACTCTATACTTAGGGGCACATTTATTTTATTTTATCTTATTTCATTTGGAGACAGGATCTTGTTCTGTCATCCAGGATACAGTGCAGGGGTGCAATCATGGCTTACTGCATCTTCAACCTCCTAGGCTCAAGAAATCCTCCTGTTTCAGCCTCCTGAGTAGTTAGGACTACAGATGTGTGACACCACACCCAGCTAATGTTAGAATTTTTTTTGTAGAGACGGTTTTGCCATGTTATCCAGTTCGGTCTTGATGTCCTGGACTTAGTTGATCTGTCTGCCTTGGCCTCCCCAAATGTCTGGATTACAGATATAAGCCATCAAGCCTGGCTTTGGGTGCACATTTAAAAAATATTGAATTTAAAACGGCCAGATGGAAATAATTTCACTTGAATGATTTCAACCTTTGTAAAATATACCATATGCTTCCAAATGTGTACACAGAAATCTTTCATTTAAATAAAATAATTTTGAATTTTTTTTTTTTTGCTTTATTGTCACTTGGCAGACATAAACAAGATTGTGAAGATTATTTTAGTAAAAGCTGAAAAATTAAGTATTAAAAGTCAACCACCTTTTTGGGAGGACCAATAATGACAAAGAGAGGGCAATAAGAGGAGCTGTGCTTCAGGCTCAAATTTTGTATTACTTTGAAAGGTAATATTAGTTCATTTTGGTTAAAGATGGGAAAAATGAAAGAACATGTATATAACAGGGAAAGCAGAAAAGTTTTTCAGTTTCTAATAAAAAAAATCTAGACATACCAATATTCCAATAAATGGGTTTAAAAAACCCTAGTGTACAACATAAAACACAAATCCTTTTGAAATCATAATGTCCTCATTATGAGAGGACAGTATCACACATAAAAGTTCCAGACTAATCCAATTAGAAAGAGCTGACAGCATTCACATATATAACCTGAAAAAATTATACAGCTGGTTGCTTATACCTAGAAATAAACTACAGACTGAGTAGCATGTGAAACTAATTTCATTAATTTTTATTTTCACAGATGATGAATAAGGCATTTACCTTATAAGTCTTTAAGAAACAGTTTAGCAAAATATAGTTAGATCTGATAGCAACATAAAGTTAAATAAGTTTGAAACAATAAGCAGCCATGTAAGATTCTCTAAATCAAATTTCAATATTAGCAAAATCTATAGTGAATAAAGACTAGAGCATATTCTAATCAATAATTCACAACACTAAAGTAATACTGAAAAAATATTAATGATGTCCCATTTTTAAAAAATGTGGAAATTACCAGAAAAAGTATTTTATATTAAAATATACAAAGTTGGTACAAATCTATGAGGCTTATTAACCAGACTCCTTAAGATAAGCAGTTAAAAGACCCTGAGAGCTTATACATGAAGAAGCACAAAGTGTTCATTAAAAATATTCCATTTTATTACCAATAAAATAAATACAAATAAAAGCAATGCATCAAATACCACAATTCATATCCAGTATTGAATCAAGCTATGGAGAACAGGCACATTAAAAAGCCTTGGGTCGCACATATCTTTTGGCAATGATAAAAGAGCTATCAGATCACTTAGCCAGTAACTGACCTAGTAATTCCACTCTGAAGACTTTATCTAAGCATTTATCCCAAAGGGGAGAAAAGTAAAACACATTATTTTTATCAAAAACAATGGGAACAACTCAGATGTGCAACAAGCAGGGAAATAAATTATTATATATAACCCAAGGAGAATAACATAGCTATTAAAAAGGAAGGAGTGCATTCTTATGACAAAGCAAGAAGTGCGTATCAAAAGCTTTTAAGATTAAAAAAAAGAATGTAACATGATATAAAACACTACTAATGCATAAAATGTTATGCTTATATAATGAAGATGTTTTGAAAATAGCTTTTTAAAAAAGTTTACAGATTTTTTACTGTAAAGCTACTAAAATTGGTATGAAAAATAAAAATGAAGACTAATAATTTTTGAAGTCACCAATATTTCTAGGAGAGTTTCTTAAGGTATGGTATAAGAGATATTTCTTTTTTAAAAAAAATGGGGTCAAGTTTCCCTGGAAAGTCATTTCGGGAAACTATGAGGCAAGCCAGCCTCTGTATAGTAATATCTGTAATATTATAATAATATTTCCAATGTTAACTCATGGTTTCATAGCCGAAAAACTCGTTTTAGTAAGCTGGAACAGGAAGTTGCAGACTATACCGAAATAAACTAGAGTGAGATTCTGATGATCAAATATTTTAGTAATAATTGGCTTTTAAAGTCAACTCAAAGCACTCTGATATTTTGATTCTCAATATTTTAATACTAATGATGAAAGACTAAAGTGTTTGGCTACTATAAATTAATCCTCTTTAAGACATAAGCATATCTTATCAACTGTCCATAGAGATTTGTAATATCTATTCCCCAAAAATAATTTTTGTACATTATTTTTGCTCTGCTCATTAGCTAAGCTGCTGCTTCAACTCAGCATTTTATTAAGTGACACTCAGGTAAAGTGGGGTTCTTAGATAAAAGTTAATCACAAAGCAGGATTACAAGACATGTTCTCAAAATTTTCAAATTATTTTAGAACTGATGTGAGAGTCAACAATTTTAGCTTTTTAAATATTTCACCTAATTTTTATATAAATAATGATGGAAAGGTTTCAAAAGAAGTGATATAAAAGTGGGCTTTATATAGTACATGTTCTCTATTAAAGCATTATTATCATATCTTTTTAACCCCAAAGGGGGGAAAAGTCCACAAAACTCCTAAGATATAACTAATCACATTTAAACAAATAACTCAGTCAAAAAAATCCTGAAAATTGATTAACTGATGTAAAGCATTTAAAGTAATTTCCCAATGGAAGTCACCATCCCTTAACTTCCATCAAAACATGCTATATCTTCTACTGAAAAATATTTGTGGAAATAAAATTACAAAGCCCACACTAACCTGAGAGCTCTGTACACAGGGATGGCTCACTATAAGGCTTCCCCCTAACCAGCATGAAGTCCGTGCCAGAAAGCCCCACTGCTACACTAAAAAAGTACAGTTTATATGAGGTTAATTCTTTGAATTCTCTTCCCCTTCTATTAAGGCAAATAAAAGAAGACAAAAAGTACTAGTGAATAATGCAGAGTAAAGGCTAAAATATCATTCTTAAAAACAGATGGGCAAAATACTTAAGAAATAAATTATTCTAATTGCAGTGCCAGAAGAAATAAAAAGCAGTAGACATTTTGGTTATGTGAACCTCTGGTATTATTTGGCTGAAACATACTTAGTCCATTTATAATAGTGTCTATTATTACAAATAACCTCACATATGGAATGTACGTAGGTAATACAATGTGTTAAGAAATTAAATGCCTGTTTCCAATATGTTCTACTTAAATATTTGTAAATTTACTAAAGTTGAGAGGTTTCTATTATATTTTTAAATGCTAGATACCAATTTCAGATACAGCTGTGAAATATTCACTAGATTAGATTTTTCACTATTTTCTTTTATCCTTGAAATATTTATTGAATATTTAACTAAAAATAAGGTTTCTGTTTTGAACAAAGCGATTTCTGACAGAGGCTAGGTTTTCCTCCTTCTCTAATTAAAATTCAATTTTATCTCTAGTTTTGTGTTGTTTTAATTTAATACTGTACTACAGAACAAAGAAAAAATAATCGTTTCTAGAGATACCTACTGTGGCAACTTTCGAATAGTGAAAAAAGTCACATCATTTTCCCTATCTCTAAACAAAAGGCAGATTTGATAATCTGCAATTTTCCTAAGACAAATGCTCTTCAGTTCCTGAATATTTTAGTTGTTAAAATTTAAATTTGGAATACAAAAATTTACTTACTTCCAAGCTGCCTCTCTTTATTGGATTCAGCACCAATAATTTCTTTAGAAGATTTTCACAGTCTGTGGACATATAGAAGGGAATACGGTACTTCCCTCGTAAAACTCGCTCCCGAAGTTCCTTAATAAAAGTGAAAGAAAGCAGTTACAACTGGTTTTTGAAATGATCATACTTAAGGATAAAACATTAATATCAAATTTAGCTGATACCTTTAAATTCTGGCCGTCGAAAGGCAAGGAGCCACTGACTAATGTATAGAGAATGACGCCCAGACTCCACACATCCACTTCGGGCCCGTCATACTTCTTTCCTTGGAAAAGCTCGGGAGCAGCATAGGGTGGGCTTCCACAAAATGTGTCCAATTTGTTCCCAACTGTAAATTCGTTACTAAAACCAAAGTCAGCAATTTTAATATTCATATCACCATCAAGGAGAAGGTTTTCAGCCTAAGAGGAAAATCATAAAAAGAATGATGTAAAAAGCCTACATAAAATAAAAAATATTTGTTAAAAGTGTTTTAGCTTCTAAACTAACATATATCTTGCCTCTTATTTCTAAATGTAATATCAAATTTAGAAGCCCAGTATGGTACTTCAATGCATAACTGTTCTGAGTTACATCTATATAAGACTAAATTTTAACACTATAAAAAGAAAGCTCTCTTTATATGCATACATGCAACTACTTAAGAAAGGTTATTTAAAACCCATTTTCTTTCATAGGTTATTTTAAACTCATTTTTTCCCTCACAGTCAGAAACATCCTGGAAGTGTATCTTTATGGGACCTACTCTAAAGTACATAATGCGAGTCCATCTTGGACTTAAAACCAACAAGATTACCCAAAGGAGCTCTATTTTAATAGGGTATTGTTGGTTAATGCAAGGCTCAAGGGTATATCTAAAGCAACTGCCTGTCAGGGGTTCTTTCCTTTGTCCTCTCTGTAGAATGCTTCCTCAGCAAAGTACTGTTTAAGTAAAACATGACCAAACAAAATAGAGCCTCCATTAGATCTGGTCTGTTTTAAGCATCTTTTTGCTGTTCTAAAACTAGATTCTCTTCTTGAAGTATATTTACATAGAAAGCAGTGAATTATCCCCTATGCTGTGAGATGTTGGTTTTCCAAAATCCTAAAGCAGAATCACTCAAAGACAATATTTTAAATGTCCCTTTGTAAATAGAAGCAACTCAACAAAGGACTCGCTTTTGTATATGTTTTGTTTCAAACTCTATTACAATGGATGGACAGACTAACAAAGTTATAGATTACTTTGCCGATGTGTTTTAGCAGGTTCCAAAAAGGAATAAAATTTGACTAAAACAAAAATCAGACGTCTCTATATCATTGCAAAGTCTAACAGTCATGAGTCAAGCACTCTACCCATCATATATCTCTTCCTTCCCTAACCCCCCAACCCGTGTTGTTGTTACTGTTTTATGGTATACTAGCTTGGGATATTTGCTTTCATTTTATTTTGGAAAATGCAGATAGACCTAGCACCTAAAATAGACAATAAAAATGGCGTATCATTTATTAAATAAATACTATAAAAGCACATATATTTGGAAAATTTGTATATTAGATTGTAACATTTTTGAACTGTGACAAAACCAGGTTATTTTGAGGTTCTGATGTAAGAGCCTGGTCACTGTAAATTTCTGAAGCTGTTTGTAAGTAAGCTGGACTTTTTTCAGTCTCTCTAAAAATGTCTGAACAGCTATCAAAGTATCCAAGCTGCCTCAGAAAAGAAGAGCTGCAGGGGGTTCTGAGGTCTCCTTCCAAGAGTGTATAGGAAAACTCTCTCTACCGGACTAAAGGGAAAACACAAGGTTTTGAACATGATTATTTTTTGCAGATCTTTTTCATATAAGAAATGAGATGATAAACTGGGAGTCAGGCACAGAAGCACGGGAACGGTTCTCTTTTTACTCATTCGTCGTGGAAGTGGTTCCCCTTAAAATAGCCAAGGAAGGAAACCAAGAAATAGAAAAAATTGGTGCAACAGAAAAATCATAAGCTCTGAAAAACAGAAGCTAAAATAGAGATTTAGACTTTAGACTTTCGACAACTCTTTAGGGTAATATATTCAAATATAACCCAAACTGGTGCTAGGAGTTGATAAAGGTGATTAGGAAAAAAGAAAAATAAGACTTCTATGTAAGGGACAATGCAAATCAAATTTGGAAGAATAGAGAAAAAAGGAAAAGACGTAAACATTTTAGCTCAGGGTGTTTCCACTTTCAACTTACTTAAATGGTTTCAACAACTTAAATGGCTGTGCCACAAAATCAGTGGTACAACCACTTACTGCCTACACATTTCTCATTCCAAAGTAAGCTCACTTATACTACTATATGCATTTAGTGTTTATAAAATTTTTGAAAACTTTCCTTAGGTGGGGTGGGACCAAAAAAAAAAAAAAACTTTCCTTAATTCTTTGAGGAGAGTGAGCTTTAAGGTAGAGAGTGAATACTGCAGCTTACATTAGGCAAACATGGGTCTGTGCTCTGATTTTGCTTCTGTCTGGGAACAAACAGAAGCTTTTGGCTGGGAACAAAATTCCACATCTATACATTTAAAACAAGCTAATTAATGGTGAATCAAATTCTCTAACCTTTAAAGCTAGATAACTTCTTACTCATATTTCCTTCATTTACTCAGAGAAAATACTACCTTTCACAGAGTTGCTGTTAGAATAAAAAATAACTACCTGTATAGTGTCTAATAGCGCAGTTAGGCAATAAAAAAGACAGCTCTAATATTATTATTAAATATATGTTAATAATATAGATTAAAAAAATTAAAATCAGAAGCTTACCTTAAGATCACGGTGAACAATGCACTTTTGATGACAATACTGTACAGCAGATACAATCTGGAATAAATATTTGGATAAAAGAGTCAAATTATTTTATGATTAAAAAAACAATTTTCCCCAATAATTGCCTCCAATTTAGATAAATTACTAATGTGAATTTCAAGGTAATATTTAATAAATCTGCTATGCCTTTAGTTCAGAAAACTATATACATTAAAGTGATGAAATTGCTCATAAATGTAGGAAATAGGAAAAGTAATATTCTCTTGCTAAAATACAATAAAATATTTCTTTGTCAGAGGCTGTGAAGACTTCATATGGATCATTATAATTGGAATGTATACAATTTATAGTTTTGGTCAAATAGTTTATTACAGTGTTGAAATAAAAGCTTTGGCACACACGAATTAGTATTTTAAGATAATTGTCTCAAGTTAAAAAAGCAAAACTCTATTCTAGGAATTACAAAAAATGTGTTCAAGGTATGTTTTGTTAGTGAGGCCAATTCACTAAGAACTTATCAATGAGGTGTTTAGCAGTATCTTTATTTGTTTGTTCACATATAAAGGGAAAGGAAACTTTTTGGGCCTTAAAAAGAAAGCTGATCAGCAATAATAAAGAGGGAAAAATGAAATTCAATCTTAAACCTGTCATTAATTCAGTCAGGTGAAGTATTCTATGCCTGAAACTAGATTTTGTATGCGGCCATAATTTTTAACCATTACATAGGGCTCTTTGGGACAAGGACTAAACAAGGAGGAACCCAACAGTTTAAAGGCCAAAAATATAAGAGAAATAGATTATAAACAATTCTATGATACTTCTTTATTACATAAAACACAGAAGTGGAAAGAATCTGATAGCAATCAATTAAGAACTATATTTGTACATATAATTATATCTGATGAATAGAAGGATGGTCATTTTAATGCACAGCAGACATTCAATTCTATGGATTCAGTTAAATATAAACACAGTTTGAATGTTAGGTATTTACAAATGGAGATAGAAATGAGATTTTGTAAAAGTCTAAAGGTGATGTGAAATATGACCATGCTAATAGGAATATGGGTGAGAAAAAAAACTTCAAAGTAGAAGTGAACTGATATTTCAGTATTATAAAATTATTCTAATGTATATTAAAATGGTTCAAAGACACAGAAAACATGAATTCAAAACAAAATCATCAACACACAATGATCAATATATAATTCCATTTAATTTGTTTTGATTCAGCAGTTTATTGAGCACCTGCTATGTGCAAGAAAATGTGCTGGTTGCTAGGCAGATACAGAAATGAATAGTACCTGGACTCTGTACTTAAGGAGCTCACAATGTGATTAAGAAGAGAAAATAAGGTATATATGCTATATGTACTTTGTATTATGGAGGTATATGTTATTATTTAGAGAGGTATATATTCATTACTTTTCTATTTATTATATATAAAGAGGTATATTTATTTCTTTATAAGGTAGAATGATAGAACTCTACCTTTTTATGAGAATCATAAGAAATAAAAGAAGATTTTCAGTTGGAAGTGCTTCCTGAAGGAGGTGCTATTCAGTCTAAGCCATCCTTGAAGGACAGAGTTATTTTAAGATGTAGAGATCTGGGGGTGAGGAGGTGGGGGTAAGGTGGTGAAATGAATTAATGACAAGGGAACTGTGTATTTGAAAAGCAGGCTGGGGCTGATGCCTGTAATCCCAGCACTTCGGGAGGCTGCAGTGGGAGGAGGATTGTCTGAGGCCAGGAGTTCAAGGCCAGGCCTTAGCAACACAGTGAGACCCCCATCTCTAAAAAGAATAAAAATATGAGCCAGGTGTGGTGGTGTGCAGCTGTGGTCCCAGCTACACAGAGTCTGAGGCAGGAGTCTGTCCAGCCTAGGAGGCTGAGGCTGCAGCATGCCATGTTCACCCCACTGCACACCACCCTGGATGACACAGTAAGACCCAGTCTCAAAAACAAAAAACAAACAAAAACACCAGCCAACCGAACAAAAAAAAACCCACAAAACCAAACCAAAGCAAAACACATTTTAAGAAAAAGAGGTGGAAAAATGGTGACAGTGGGAGTCGAATCTGGACAAACAGGTTGATAAAAGTCCTGAAGTCAAAAGTAAGGAGATACTACAGAACCGCTACATGTTTCTGGGCAGGTGACTGGAAATGATTATGATCAATTTTAAGTATGATCCCTAAAAATACAGAAGGATCTAATGATTAACATTCGTAGTAGTTTTCTTAAGCAATATGCTTCAAAATTCTAAAACCCAATTTTCACTAAATTACGTTCATTAGCCAAAAGATACATACATTCATGTGTATATTTTATTGGATATACTATACAGGTTATGGTATGTTCATATTATAGGATTACTTTTCATCATGGGTGATAGAAATTTGCTGATAATGACATTATCTTTTATTAGTCACGTTTGTATGATCCACTGAAGGTATGCAACAGATAATAATTTGGTTACGAAACATGATCAGAGGCCATGCAATTCATGTCAGACACAATGGTCTCTATGAAAGCAGTTCTCCAAGCACTTCTAGAATCAAACATTTCCTGAGCCTCAAAGCATTAAGAATGGAAAGATAATTACAAATAATCCCCTGTATTAAGCACGTGTGATCCCCAAATTCTATGAATTCTAAGCTATCGGTGGTAGTTTATTATAGTATTACCACTTGCTTAGCAGGAAAGAGTTTTTGCCATGAAAGAAGTTCTGCTTTCTGACTCACTGCAAGAATCCCCCTCCACAAGCCTAACTTTTACTGCATTGTTTTACGGCTAGATCTTCCCATCTCAACACACTCTGTACTTCCATAAATAGGATACAGGAACTTCCCTATGAGCTTCTGTGAATGAATCTTAAAAACATGATTTACAATCAGCTGGGTACTGACAGTAAGATCAAACATATCAGTGTTTCCCACTGAGTTAGTTATCACGGTTACTTTGCAATTATTAACACCTATAAATGGGTCAGGAATTCCTATGGTTGAACTGGTAGAAAGCATTGTACAGGCAATGGCTGCTAAGTGGCCTTAAACTGCTCTAGCGTCTTTGGTATTTCTAAAAGTAAAGTCAAGGACATATATACATTTATACTTGCTGACAGTATTAATACATACATTCTTTTACTGTTAAAATTAAAAAGTAAATAAAAGTAACTGTATATTCATTAATTCTGTAAGAGTTTAAATCAAATCCGTAAAGAAAAATGAGCTCCTCAAAAATAAATTTAAGTAAAAATTTACCTTCAGTCAGGTAACTACAAAATAATGTATGTGTGTCCATGTGTGTAAGGATGTTTGCATGTCTCTGGTTTCTAAAAATATGAATTAGTAACTTTTTTAGTTTTAGGCAAACATAAATAGATGTTAAATACATTTAAAATTTACAGTCAAAGAATAAATTATAAAGAAAATATTTTCCATTGTTTTACAACTTAAACAGCGTTCACTTGGCACTCTGTCTCTGCAATGAGAGAAATATGAAGCTGATTTCAAAACCCAAGCCAATTTTAGTCATTATTTGTATTTCTATAAAAATATCTGTGTCCCAACTTCCTATCCTGTTCTCACTCACCAGCAAGAAGAAAAGCTCTTTAAAATAGCAGGCACTTCCAATTTCTCTAATTCCATATAGTACCCAGTACCATTTTCTATACCTATCAGAAAATAAGTAAAACTAGCTGCCTAAAAAAATAAGAGTAAGTAGCAAAATACATACATTAGGATTCCAATGGGAATATTTAATGCAAATCGTAACTTCCTTGCTGCTCTGCTACTAACAAAAGCTACTGCGACTGATATTAAATGAATAATATTTAAAATGGTGTGTGTGGCTGGGTGTGGTGGCTCAGGCCTGTAATCCCAGCACTTTGGGAGGCCAAGGTGGGCAGATCACCTGATGTCAGGAGTTTGAGACCAGCCTGACCAACATGGTAAAACCCTGTCATTACTAAAAATACAAAAATCAGCTGGGTGTGGTGGTGTGCGCTTGTAATGCCAGCTATTCGGGAGGCTGAGATAGGAGAACTGCTTGAACCCATGAGACAGAAGTTTTAGTGAGCCGAGATAGCGACACTGCACTCCAGCCAGAGTGACAGAGCAAGACTTCGTCTCAAAAGTAAATACAAATTTAAAAATAAAATGATGTGTGTGATACTTTATTTAAGGGTAAGCTTGAACTTCCATCCCAGGAAAGGAAATAATTTAACAGTACGTGGTTGAATACCATTGTTTCTTTTCTTTTTTTTTAACATTCAGTTTCTTAATGTTGCTTTCCTTATTACCAGTTGTCTTTACCTTCAGCTATTTCAACAGGAATACTTCCAGGAATCTATCCCACATAAAAGGGCTATACATGTCTTTGGTACAAAGTATTTCACAAACTGTGCTCCAAAAAGCAATAATTCTGTGAGATATTAATAACAGGTTTGACAAAACAAACACACTCATTCCCTGGTCAATCTGGAGAATGCCATGTTATCACAAGTTAAACAGGCTTTTTCCTCCTCTCCCCTTCAGAACTTCTCTGTTTGTTTAACACGTTAACATGTATGAGTCTTTTCCAAACATACTGATTACAGAACCTCTTTAACTGTAGAATTAAAGTGTTCATGCAGACAGAAGAGGTAGTGAGCCATTTTTAAATAAAAATTCTGAATTTACTAAAAGTTTAGGATACAGTAAATTGTCCACTTAAACTAGTAAATTTTATGAACAATTTACAATTCGCTAATTTTCCATTTCTATGGTAACTTATATGCTTGCTTATTTCAATCACTTCAGTTCTAAAAATTAAAAATAAAATTCTAGATAAATTTATTTTTTATTTTATCATTTCTATAAGTCATATTCAAGTTGAACTGGAAATATGAATATCTTACCACATTCCTCTGCCATATTTACAAAGTTTCTTGCCTACTTGGTTAAATCAAATTAACCATATTCTTTTTTTTTTTTTTGAGACGGAGTTTCGCTCTTGTTACCTAGGCTGGAGTGCAATGGTGCGATCTCGGCTCACCGCAACCTCCGCCTCCTGGGTTCAGGCAATTCTCCTGCCTCAGCCTCCTGAGTAGCTGGGATTACAGGCACGCGCCACCATGCCCAGCCAATTTTTTGTATTTTTAGTAGAGACAGGGTTTCACCATGTTGACCAGGATGGTCTCAATCTCTTGACCTCGTGATCCACCCGCCTCGGCCTCCCAAAGTGCTGGGATTACAGGCGTGAGCCACCGCGCCCGGCCCAAATTAACCATATTCTTTAAATCTACAAAAATGAGTTTAAACACCGAAACATCTTTAATTAAAAGAATACAATAACCTCTTTAAACAGTACACATATATTCTGTACATATAAAACCAGTAATAATTTATAATAATTATTGGATAAAGATATCAAAGTCTTAACTATATTTTTTCTATCTCCGTCTAGTCTATGCTTCCGGGACTCTCAGACAGTTAATTAGGTAAGTTTCATCTATAAATATTTACTCTTTATGATAATCTAAAAATAACCATCTGCAACTATTTATATTTAAATTTAAATTCAGAAAGGTTTATTTTTTAGGAGTTTTGCATCCTTAAAAATATTAAAAAGCAGGAATTCTTCTTTTTAAAATACCATGTGTTGTGAAGTCCAGTTTGTAATACTGTCCATTGTACATCACTAAAAATATCAGCAAAACAAAGTTGAAAACTACTTTCCATACCTGCCTAAATTTTGCACGGGCCTCTTTCTCTTTCATTCTTCCATGGGCAACTAAGTAATCAAATACTTCACCTGAATCAGAAAGGTAAAGCAGGTAGTAAAATATACATAGATTTTTGGTTAACAATATAGGCAATGTCAATTTTTTCCCTTGTTTATAAAGAAACTTTTGGTCCATACTTTTCTGCTAGTTTATGTAAGTCGCAAACTAACACATGAATAGAAAAAAGGAAAAAATTACATATAAAATTGAGTATCTGCAGCAGTTTGTATTTAGCAAACCTCTTCAAAAAATAAGTCATAAAAACACAACCAAGAAAACTTGCTTTCTGCTTTCAAGTATTATGTAAAAATACAGTCAACTCTTTATTATCCATTGTAGTAAAGGGAAGCCACAGCCTGGGCAATCAAAAATTACATCTGGCTTTCTATTTGGGCCTATGTTTCAAACAAAATAATGAAGTCTTTTTTGTTGGATTGCTCTTTTAAATTCTCCCTGTCACATAGTCTGGATAAAATTCCATCTCACTACTTCCATCCACATTGATTTCTCTCTTTCCTTTCCTGTACTGTGTTTATGCTCACTCTACCCATTTCATACATTTCAGTAGTTAACCACAAATTATACAGAATTAAATCATGTGTGTATATACGTCTATTACCCCAGATGAACTGGAAGTTACTTGAGCATCATCATAATATCTGCACTTCATCTCCATGGCAGAACACAAAGTACATAAACATTTGCCAAAATAACTTTAAAATAACTAGAAGCTTTTGGAAATTTCCTACTTACATGTCCGTAAGTTTTTCCTTTTTCTCTAGTTAGCGAAATAGCTTAAAACTAAATTAATCTTGAGTTACGACTTTACAAATATTACCTCAGTATAAGGGTTAAATTTATTTTTGTGTCCTTATAATTTGTACCATATAGATATACATGTATATTAAACACACAAAATGGCTTAAAATGTTCTTGAAAGTATGGCAAAGTAGTAAAAATAAAAAGTAAAAAAACTCAGGCTTTAGAATCAGACCAATTTTGGTATGAATTTTGTTTTATCCCTATGTACTATTGAGAGACATTATTAGGAAGATTTCTTAACTTCATTAAGACTCAGTTTCTACCTACTGCCTACTCACATGATTGTCGTAAGGATTAAATGAAATAATGCATGTGCTTAGCACAGCAGCTGGCATATAGTAAGCACTCAATAAATGACGTTTTTATACCTAGGTATACAGATATATTACATATATATGCAATATCAATCCTAGGATATAAATAAAATACTAAAAATCAAATATGTAATGAACATATGTCAGATCAAACTAATACATCTACAATGTTAGACAGCATATTATATAATATGAAGCATACTTAAGTGATTAAATGGGATGATGAGAACAGAAATGAATGGATGCTCTAGACTCATCACAGTAGTTAATTCTAGATATGTGGTAACAGTTGTTAATTCTAGTTAACTCATCATAGTAGTTAATTCTAGATATGTCAGTTTAGGCAGGGAAAGATATATACAAGAGTATGAAAAATTTGGATCTACTCTTAAATACTGCCTAGAATACACTTACCCCAGGTATTTACATGACAACGTCCTGTACTTATCATATATTATTTGTATATAATTTACTTCCCCAACTAGAATGTAAGCATTGTAAGGGCAGGAACTTTGTCTTTGCTCACTCATGTATTCCCAGCACCTCCAGCATTACCTGATATATGGTAAGCATTTTATAAATGTTGTTTGAATGAACAAAAGAAAGAATAAACACATCATTTCACAGTAGTCCTGACACCTACTTTTAATAGGCTCCTTTGGATTAAACATGGTTCAAAATAAAAGATTTTTCTGACTTTTCTAATCATTGAAAATTTTCATTCCATTAGTGAACCAGAATCAACTGATCGATTCTTGGCGAAGAGGCAACTGTCTAACTTAATTCTTACTCACATTACCATTCTAGCGTACATGTCAGATTTGATCCTAAACTACTGAGAAATCCTAGAGGAAATATATTCAGTGTTTTATTTTCCAGAGTTACCTGCCATTTACAGATTAAAAAGGCAAGAAATTTTAGATTTCTTGATTCTTGATTCTAGATTTACTGCCACAGAACCATAATGTTTTTTGTTACAGAATAACTAACTTGCAAAACTCAAAGAAAACGTATGGCAGGAATCAGAATATAATGAGGTTGACTGGTATGGTCTGAATTCATGTACGCATCTCTCTGTGCTACTCCCCACTGTGTCTGCCAACTATGCTACTGAAGGAGAGCAGCAGTGATGGCCTCACATACTCTTAACTCTAGCCATTACTCCCCTTCATTAGCACCAATAGAGAGTTGACTGTACTTAGCATTAACCATTAAGTCAGTACACATACTAATATTCACAACTTACAGTGGGCCTTTATAAAAACAGAAGGGTGTCTACAAAATTTAGCAGTCTATACTTTCCCAAATCAAAGTGGGTCTAGCCCCTTTCTCTAAATTTTACATCGTTAAATGGAAAAAAGGAGTCTAATTAGATTAAAAATAATATTTGAGGTTCCCATGCAACAGATTATTACAGCAATCTAACTGAAGGACACAGAAATAGAGAAATAGTTCATTATGTGGTATTTGTAGATTCATTTGTTTCATTATAGATCTATATTTTATGCAAATGTACATGGCTGTTTTAATATAATTTTTTAAATCCTATAATAACGAACACTAATGATATATTTTCAAGTTAAGTAAAAGAATCTACATTGAAATATTTTTTTCAGGTGACAAAAGCTTTGCAAAAATAAAAGTACTAAAGTATTCGACCTGCATAAACAACTGCAAAAGCAATTAAATATATTAACATCTATAGTAAAGTTTTCTAGAAATACAAGATAGTATAAAACTTAGTTGTTACAGACTAGATAAATCCTTTCTATTTCAGTTCACATAAAATCTGAATCACCATAAAAATCTATAAATGTCATTAGCTAGAAGAGCTCAATAGTAAGTTCAACACTACATTTTTCTATGGAATAGCAAAAAATCAATCAGCCAAAAATAATTTCAGATGCCTTCTTTCTTCTTCAGTTGGTTAAATTCTGAGCCCTTAAAACCTCCCTTTAAGTAATCTTTTTTTTAACTTATTAAATGATTAATTCCATAAATTTTCAACCTATTTCTGAAAAAGTGAAGTCCTAAGTCTAATAGAAAAGTGATTTTGAGCTGACGCATTTCTCATTTAAGGGAAAGTGCAGGAGATGAAGGTGATTTTCTATTACATATCAGTGTTTAAAAATTATTCCTATTTTTGACACCATGATAGTCAAAATATACCTGATATTATACTACAAACACATCTTACTATCTCTATCAACTCAGTCCTCTAACACATAAAATGTATAGATCAATACTTGTTTAAATTGAAACATTTGTTTCATTTTATGAATTATCTTGAAAATATATATATATTGAGAATCTGTCATATGTGAACAATCAGTGAAATAAACACCTGGCCTAGAACAAGCTTTATCATAGATTTTATTAAATACATTCTGTACTTGAGATTCCCTGCTGATGGCCAAAGTTTCTAATCATGATATGATATATTGTTATGATAAAATTTAGATAAGAGAATCAATACATTCGTAAGATGACAATACAAATTTAACGCTCGAAAAAATGTCCCTAAGTAAATTGTAAATAAGCCAAAAATTATATTTATAATGTAGGATCAAAAGGACTTAAAAGTAAATGCTGAATTTTCCTTAAGATGTAATTTAAAGGCAATTAAAACAATAGATTCGTTAACAACATTCAAAACATAAAAATGTCATAATGAACCCTTAGGTATTAATAATTCTGTATGTCTCAGCAAAGAGAACTTTTCAATCACCCTCATTCTTACCCCCACTCGCATATTCCATGACTAAATAGAGAGTCTTCTCTGTTTCAATAACTTCAAACAATTTTACTGAAAAAAAAATTAGAGATATAACTTTATAACTGTTAGCACAGATTAAAGGTTTTAAGAAAATCTAAGGTAGCATTAAACTAGTTACAACTTTGACTATTTACTAAATATTATTAATCACAATTTTAAGTCCAAAAAGTCTCTCTGAGATGATTACATCTATGACAGAAAACTATTTACCACAAAGTGATTTAGAAACAACTTCCTGAGTTGAAAAAGTTAAGTTTGTGGAATTAATAAGCCATTATTTTTCAAATTAGAATAAGGTTATAAAAAGAACTCTTAAAATCAGAAAAACAGAATTTAAACTGAAGTTTAAAAAGAGACTAAGTTAATATCACAGTGAGCCATTATAAAATGTTAAATAGTCTTTGGTGCAGAAACAAAAGAAATTCTGTATTTCTGTGACATTCTAAAAGTTTTTGGTTAGAAAAACTGCTAAAGTATCAAATTTATGTAGTTGAAATATTCACCCCAAATAAGCACTTTAACAACTATATAAGATTTTTAAATATGCCCAAAAGTGTTTTAAAAAACCATTTTTAAAAAGGCTTTGTTTGACTTCCCACAATCAAATGATTTCATATAATATATATAATCAGTAAGTTTATTTGTAAAGATGGAGAAAAATCAGAACTTACTGAAAAATTTTACTAAAATTGAAATCAACTTTTTGTTTTCTTTAAAATGCAGTTATTTTTCCTGAAAGTCATTTTTTATAAATACCTAAATGACCTGCAATCTCTATTTAGAGGCTTTTTTTTTTTTTTTGAGACAGGGTCTCACTCAGTTACCCAGGCTGGAGTGTAGTGGCACCATCTTGGCTCGCTGCAACCTCCACCTCCCAGGCTCAAGCAATTCTCCCCACTGAGTAGCTGGTACAGGTGTGCACCATCACGCCTAGCTAATTTTTGTATTTTCTTGTAGAGACAGGGTTTTGCCATGTTGCCCAGGCTCGTCTTGAACCTCTGACTTCAGGCAATCCAACTGCCTCAGCCTCCCAAAGTACTGGGATTACAGGCATGTGCCACCACACCCAGCCAGAGAAATGTTTTTTTTTTTTTTTTAACTTAGAGACATTTAGTAAGGAAATTAAAACAATTTTTTTTGATGCATTAACACTGAATCATATCAATTATTTTAGTGGAGAGTAGAAGATAGCAAGGTAGCAGAAAACAGTGATCTGTAGCCTCCAGTTAACTTCTTTGTAATCTATTTTTACCCAAAGTATCACTTTCCTGGGTTATCACTCAGGTTATCACTTTTCTTCTGCTTATATAAACTATCCTTAACATTGTGTCTTTTCAAATATCCTCAAATTAAGGAAAATACTTCATTGCTAATAATACATATATATATTTCATACCTATATTAGGATGATTCAGTATCTTCATTATTCGAACTTCTCGAAATAACTGTTAAAGAAAACAGGTAGATATATTTCTGTTAAAAAAAAAACAAGTAAGCAGAGAGCCAATTAAAATATTTATTTGAAGAAATTAATCTGCTTATAAAATGCTACAGGATTCTGTAAATGAACTAAAACAAAATATTTTCTCAGTCCCAACTCTAGCTATGTTAACCTAGACTGCGACATGAACTTTGCTGTGACGTGGTTTCTAAAAGAATTTTAAGTAGATGAACTCTAATGATCTCTGTGTGTGTGGTGTGAATACATTAAACACAATAAAACGTACAAATTATTCAACTGCTCCTTATGAAAAGCAACAAAGAAGAACACTGTGAAAATGGAAATGAATGGTCCTTCTTGTGATCTTTACCCAGAAACCACCTTCCTTAGGGGTTTGACTCCGAAGTATCTCTACTGACTGATCAAACATTTTAATGAAAGATTCAGTAAGATTTTTAGTTAGATTTGTAGAGTAACATTAAATAATAACAAAAATACATTTACTAACTCATATAAAAACAGAATGACAAGAAGTGACTTGAAAAATGAATATTTAAATTTCCCTCCTTTTCATTTTACTTTTTAAACAATATAGGATGTATTTTTCAAAGGCATAATTTGGTACTATTTTCTCTATGTTTTTGAGTATGTCTTAGATTCCAAATAAAGCAATTTTTTTCAATAGGAGAACCAAAAAATCGGTGATATTCTGAAAGTTATATTAAGACATATGAATTTTAGCAAATAAAATCTAAAGTTACTGCTTTCAAGAGGTGACATTTCTCAAGCAAAGATACACAATGGCCAAATGAACGCAAAAAGACGTTGAACATTATTAATCATTATGAAAATATAAATCAAAGCCACAAAGAGGTACTACCTCACAACTATTAGAATGACTGCTATCAAAAACAAACTCCCCACTCTGCCCAGAAAATAGCAAATGTTGCCAGGATGTGGAGAAACTGGAACACTTCTGCAGTGTTGATGGGAATGACAACTGATAGAGCCTCCATGAAAAAAAACAGTAGTTCCTAAAGAAATTGAAAATGGAATTACCACATGATTTAGCAATTCCACTTCTGGGTGTATGTCATACACCCAAAGAATTGAAAGCAGTGACTCAAGTAGACACTAGTACACCCATGTTCACAGTAGCATGATTCACAACAGCCCCACAACCAGAGTCTATCAACAGATGAAGAGATAAACGAAATGTGGTCTATACCAACAATGGAATATCATTCAGCCTTAAAAAGGAAGGAAATTCTGACACGTGCTACAACATGGGTAAACCTTAAAGACATTATGCTAAGTGAAATAAGTCAGTCACAAAAGGGCAAACACTGTATGCCTATACTTATATAAGCTACCTAGAGTGGAGTAGTCAAATTCATAGAGATGTAAAGTAGGATGATGGTTGCCAGGGACTGGAAGGATAGGGTATTGCATGGGTTACTGTTTAATGAGAACAGAGTTTCTGTTTTGGAAGACAAAAAACATTCTTGAGTTTGACGGTGATGTTTGAACAACAATGTAAATGTAAATTAATGCCACTGAATTGTATACTTAAAATGGTTAGGCCAGGCATGGTGGCTCATGCCTGTAATCCCAGCATTTTGGGAGGACAAGGTGGGTGGATCACAAGGTCAGGAGATCAAGACCATCCTGACTAATGTGGTGAAACCCTGTCTCTACTAAAAATACAAAAAATCAGCCGGGTGTGGTGGCATGCACCTGTAGTCCCAGGACTAGCTGGGAGGCTGAGGCAGAAGAATCGCTTCAACCTGGTAGGTAGGCAGAGGTTGCAGTGAGCCAAGATCAAGCCACTGTACTCCAGCCTGGGTGACAGAGTGAGATTCCATCTCAAAAAAAGGTTAAAATGGTAAATTTTGTTAGGCATATTTTACCACAATTCAAGGAAAGAAATATGATGTACAAAAATGCATCAATAAATGTTCACCCCAATTAAAATAAAATGACTTATGGCTTAATTGCTACAAAAAAGCTTGCTTTCCCTAGCTATTCTCAATAATTCCTAGACAAAACCTAGAGAGTCTGTATGTGTGCATATATGCATGTTCATACAAATAAATTTTTATAAAGTCCATGATACTTATAACTTTAATAATTAAAAGTTACATATCAGTAAATGAAATAGAAAGGCAGATTCATTCATGTTCGAGACAAGTACTTTCTGTAACTGTGAAACACATTCTCATTTCGAATTTGGGACAAAGAACATGAAGGTTAGCCTCAGTACACACAGTCTTCAGTACACTTGAGATCATCTCCTGCTCTGGCTTTGCCAACACATCTTCCTCCTGCCTAAATGGCCCCTCTCAGTCTTTCTGCTAAATCCTTTCCCACTCTACTCAACCTTTAAACATGGAGCTCCTCAGGAGTCAGCCTTACCCGCCTTTATCTTCTCACTCTACATGTTTCTCCTAATGAGTTATCATGGCCTCTCAAATATCATCAATTTGTTGCTGACTCCTACATTTAACTTTCTCATCCCAACATTTATATCCAATCCATATATATCTACTCGATATTTCACTTGGCTGTCTCACAGAAATTCAAACGCAATACTTGATTTCTCACACCAAATTTGATACTGGTTTTCTCCAGCTCCGTTTATCTTTCAAGCACCCTAATGACAGAAACTTTAGGATCATCCTTAATAACACTCACAAAATTTCTAAATCAGATGCATCCCTAAGATATTTTTACTCTACCTCCACAATTTATCTCAAACCCATCAATGTCTACCCATCCATACACCATTGTCACACTGAATTCCACTGGTCTCGGTACACCCATTCTGACTCTTCTGTCCTCCCGTCCTCTAAGCCATTATCCACACATCGTTTTACCCTCTCACCCTCTAATCTGTTACTACTGAACATCCACGGGTGGCTTCTCAATGCCATTAGAACAAAACCCCGATCTTGAACACTGGCTACCAGACTCTGGAAAAAATCAAGATCCTATTTTCCTCTCCAGCCTATCTCATGACTCTCAAGTGCCTACTCTGAGCCTCACCTGCTCTACCTTTGTGAGCCACAGTCCTAACTAATGACCCCTTTGAGCTCCAAGTCACTGTAATGATGATTTTGCTATTTGGAGCTTTGGACAATGGGAGTCAGCCTTTACCCAGAAGCATTCCTCAGAGTTTTGGACTCTTCATCTGCCAAACTGGGCTGACAGGTTTTAAAAAGCTATTAGCTATTAGCATGTTACTGACTGCTTGTCAAAACTGAGCATCTGACCACAGAGGGACACTGCATTCATTGACCAAATTGCTTTACTCAGGTATGTGAACCAGGAAGAGTCAAAGAAAGTAGCATCAGAAGTCATTTTATATACATATACATACACATGCATATAATAGACTTTATTTTTATAGCAGTTTCAGGTTCACAGAAAAATTGAGCAGGAGGTACAAAGTTTCCATATATTCCCTGTCCCCACATATGCAGAGGCTCCCCCACCATCAGCATCTGAAACCCAGAGATACATTTGTTATAATCAATGAACCTACATTGAGACAGTTCACAGTTTACATTACAGTTCACTCTTGCTACTACCATACATTCTATGGGTTTAGAGACATACCCATCATTTTAGTATTACACAGACTAATACTAATACTGCTCTGAAAATCATGTGTTCCACCTATTCATCCCTCCCTTTTCTCTAAGCTCTGGCAACCATTATCTTTTTATTGTCTCCAGTTTTGCCTTTTCCAGAATGTCATATACTTGAAATCATACAGCATGTAGCCTTTTCAGATTGGCTCCTTTTACTTCGTAATATGCATTTAAGGTTCCTTCAAGTCTTTTCATAGCTTGATAGCTCCTTTCCTTTTAGTGCTAAATTATATTCTGTCTGGATGTACCATAGGTTATTCATCCATTCACCTACTCAAAGACATCTTGGTTGCTTTCAAGTTTTGACCATTGTGACTAAAGCTGCTATCAACATCCATATGCAGGTTTCTGTGTGGACATAAGTTTTCAGCTTCCTTGGGTAAATGCAAAGGAGTGCACCTGCTGGATGGTATGGTAAGATACGTGTGGTTTTGTAAGAAACTGCCAGACTCTCTTCCAAAGTGGCTGTACCATTTGCATCTCCACCAACAACAAATGAGAGTTCCTGTTGCTCCACAACCTTGTCAGCATTTGGTGCTGTCAGTGTTTTGGACTTCCGCCATTCTAACAGGTATGTAGCAGTATCTCATTATTGTTTTAATTATCATTTCTCTGATGACGTGTGATATGGAATATCTTTTCATATGCTTATCTGCCATCTGTATAATTTCTTTTGATGAGTTGTCTGTTCAGATCTTTCACCTACATGTTAATCGAGTTGTTCATTTTCAAGTCTTTTCAAGCCAATTTTTGAGAAGCCTGCTCCAATCCTCAATAATACCAGATGCCTGTGGACAGTAGGAAGCGTAGAATCTTCATCAAATATCTTGTTGATTCTAGTTTGTCACATCAGAGAAAGGGTCCTTACCATGGGCAGTCTTGGAGGTCCCGGGCAGAGGAAGCCAGAAGTCATATTCCCTTACTTCCTCCTCAAGGGTGTCAGGGAGGTGTGGGCCTTGGTCTGAGTGGCATGCCCTCAGGTCAGCAGAGGGGACTGTGCCTGGAATCTGGGTGAATATCCAGAATGAGGGCTGAGGGGGCCTCTCACTCTGACACAGAAAGGATGCCACCCCTGCCTGGGCCTACCCAGAACTGACAGCAAAAATGGAGCTCCATGGGGTCCCTTGGTCTGGGCTGGTAGTCCCCTCAGAACACATTCAGGGTTTTTACCTTGGCTTCTGACTCCACCTGAGCCTCCTCTCTGCCTACCTAACCCACCTGATTAACCTCCCTGAGAACCCCAAGGAGAAACCAAGGGGTACCTCATCAGGTGACCACTGCCCAGAGACTCCCAGGCTGACAGCAGGGGTGGGGCTCTGTGGGTTAGATTTGCAGAGGACCTAGACTTCTT